TAGAAAACTTGTTGAGAACTGCTGACTTCACTGCTGCATGTACGTGTGGTGAAGATCAAGATCAACTATGCTGTGTTTCCGGCGCCACACAGAACTCTTAAAATCTAACTATTTTACATAATAAGGAAAAAGTTAAATAAAGAAGCATTTTTTTAGATGTCAAAGAAGTTTTGAAATATCATGAAAGAAATGTTTAATTCTTTCATCAGTCTCTTGTCATTCCTATCCTCATTAATAAACTATTACAAAATACTGACCTTTTACTGAAGCATCCTACAAGAAGTGCAACCAAAACCAAATATGTACGAAGATGCATTATATTTTTAATATTATTTACGTTTATATGTTCAATTAACCACATTTCCTTAATATTTGTAACAAATGTACACTAACGAACTTACGTTTATTTGAAATTTTCTTTCACAGAAAATAAGTTTTTGCATTTACTGAATGAATTTATCTTTCAAACTTGTCAGTTAGTACCTAATAAAATTATTTTATTTCAACAATGTCAAAAAAATACTCATTTATTTTTTCTTTCGTAATATTATCGATTTATTTAATGTAAGTAGCAAAATTATCAACTGAAGGCAAAAGAGGTTTAGCTACTGAAATAACTGTTTTTATTTCCTCAAGACACAGGAAAGGGAAATTAAGTCATGGGTAAATTCCGATACTAAAAGCGTGTTTGAGGAAAACATTGTCTCGCTCCAACAAAACCAAGTCAATAGAATGGTTACCTACTTCAAATTTAGGTATTTATATATTTGCTCCTCGATTTGCTCTAACCATCTTTTTTATTATAAACGGGGAGCAATGAGCAAGAGAGACGATAAAGGCGAATATTCGGACGAATATATACACAAGTATGTATTCCGTCTTATAGTATAGTGTAGAATTAAACTAAGAATTAATATATTTAAATACCCATATTTCAACCTATATTTAAGACATTGCATTTCATAAAAAATAATTAATAAATTTAATTTAACAATGACTCAACCGCATCAGTAATTATATAAGCCTCAGTAATATTTACTATTTGAGTATACAAGTTGATCCATCTGTACCAAATGATCAAAGTTTTAGGCATGATGACCGTAACTAAGAATCACTAAAATTATGTATTTATGTAATGAAATATGATTCATGAATAATAAAAAACGTATTTATTTTTATAGTACGAGCGAGATAAATAATATTTTCGATAAAATAAAACTACAAAATACAGCAAACCGCCATGATAGGTTGCACCGAGGGTTGAACACCAATCAGAGCGAATTACGTCACATCTATGCAAAATGTCATTTTGTGTCATATGTACTTCGACAATATCCGCAGTATTTATCTTCGTTTTAAATATTTTGTGTTTCCCAACTATCAGTTGCTTGGTTTTGTGTACAAAACCACAATCAGGAAACGTTTCTAAAAGAACGAAAGAAAATAAAGACAATGTTTGTGATCAAAAGTTTATCCATGCATAAATTGGTGCTGAAATGCAAAGAACAGTCCTGCGACACATTTTTGAAAAAACTCGTACTGACTGATGATGACATGAAAGTTGAAGAAGAGACGAGACCAACATCAAAGCTGTTTTTGGCACGAGTTAAGATATGGCAAAGTGACGACCTCACGAGCGTTTGAATTTAGTTGGTGTAAAACCAATGAGGAAAACTCTTAAGTACCAGTTTGGGAAAAAAATTAAAAATGTGGTATAATGCTTTGCAAAAACTATCCCACGATAGCAGGATCGTCTGATGGAATCTGTGAAGACAGTATTATTGAAATTAAATGTACCATGAATATGAAGACTTAAAAATTATGTGAAAAAAGGAAAACCGACCCATTATAGAACAGTTTTTCAAAATCTGTCATCATGCTTATTAAGTAAAGGAACACTTTTATTGTTCCTAAGCATTATGTAACCGTTATCAAAATGAAAAAGAATTTTTCTCGACTTTTCCCACAAAACGTTTGTAAAATTGTGAGAAAAGTCCAGACAAATTCTTCTTTTTCATTTTGACTTGTTCTTTTCTTTCCAAAATTTTGATCATTTGGAACAGAAAAACGATTCCATGTATCAGATTTATTGCAAGTACATTGGGGTGTAAAAACTTCTTTGTTCCCTTAATCTTTCCAGCAGTGTATAATAAAAGAAGAACGAGCAAGCACCATGTCTTTTTACTCCAAGGTAATGCATTGTAAGTGATGTATGTATTTGAAGTCTCTAGAGTTTTTAGTTGGGAAAACATTTTAATTTCAATGGCTTCAGCGCATTTAAAAGAATAAAGATTTTACAGAAAAACCAATATTATGTACGGGCACTCTTTTTGGTACTGAAACTAGGTATTGCACCACCTGCTTTCAATAAACAATATTAAATAAACGCCTGCTATCCAAGAATCACAACTCCCACCGCAACCTCCTTTAAGCGATTTTGATTCAATTTGGATATGGTACGTACAGGGTAGTAAATATGATCAGAAATTTAAATTGTATTTAAAAATGAAACAATACCTAATACAAAAAAAAACTGTGACGTCAGTTACCTTCCACTAGTTATCAGCACCAATATTTATAGGTAGGTACATATTTTATCAAAATGATCACATTCTCATAACTTGTACTTATAAATTCTTAGAAATACGTTGGCTGTATTCCTGAAGTTTATTGCTTTACTGATAAAACTGGTCAAGGATTTTCCAATTGCAAAATATCTCGTCTATCCTTATCTTTTCTCTGCAAACCTGAAGTTTGTCATAAATCATTTTCATTTTCTTTTCATTTCCATATTTTTTTCACTCATGTAAGCACCTAGAATGGTCGTCCTGTCTAAACGGATCTAAGTATTTCATTACATACCTATATTAATAAAATTAAAAAAAAATCTTGAATAGCTAAAATAGAAATTGGGAAATATTTAGAGGGGCGTAGCTCCTTTAGGAAGCATTTCTCGACCAATGTTTAAAATATTCTTATTTTTGTCAATAAAATCAAGTGGTAAATTATTGGACACTAATTATGAAACACCCTGTATACCTACATCGACAAAAAAGTACCGTCAAGCTTTTTATATTTTTAATATTAATTTAATATAATTTATTTTTCTTATCGTCGTTAAATCCCTCAATAAACAAATTTGGTATACCTAAATAAGTAATTAAATAATAGTATTGAAACACCTAAAATACATAATACCTACCTACTGGTCATGTAATATTAAGTATTACAAAACACATAAAACGAAGTTTTCATAAAAGTTTAAATTTAATTGCAGTTGAAGCGGAACTCATAATACAACAACGCTACACAAGTTTAGGTATTTTAAATTTGGATATACTATTACTATTATAAGAGAAGAAGAGAATTGTGTACAGAAAGTGGGCGTAACTTCTATCGGCGCAAGCACAGCACATTAGGTAAATGCCTTGGTAATGCCGGTAAAACTTCAGTAATTCTTTTTTTCTGTTGGTAATGGGTAATGCCTAATAATATGCACTAATTTCGAGACTAATGCCCATCTAACATCCTGTAATACCCAGTACTATTTACTTATTAACTAAAAAATCAGAGAAAAACCGCTGACAAAATGTGTATACTAAAATACTCACTTTAATGATTAATTACTCAAATAATAAAAAGAGACAAAAGAGAAAGATGATAACACATGCGCGTTAATACCCAAATATTATTCTATTACTCAGATATTACCGAGGATACTACTCAAAATATTACTCAAGTTAAAATACTACCGCGGTTTCCCCCTTGAAAAATCTGGATAAGGCTTGCAAAAATCCAAAAAAGCTCCATAATTAGTTTACTTATTGAACGATGCAATCCCGGATTTTTCTATAACAAATTTTTTAATCTCAGTGCTTTTAACAAACATTTACCAGTGAAATTCAAATGATTGCCTGACAACTATTTGAAAATATTATGGCATACTAATATAATAACAATACCGACAACAATATTTAATCAATATTTTCATTTAACTGTATATATTTTCAGTAATAGTGCCACTTTTCATCCCTCTAGAAAAAACAAACGGATATCTTGAGAAATGTGGCAGCTATTAGAGAGTAGTACACATAATCTAGTCATTTGAAGGTTCTGACATAATGTCAATACCTATACCTGGGAATACTCCCCTATCTACATAATATTACAAAGTAAGTAACATAATGATTTTATTCATAAACTAAATTACCTAATAATAGTATTATGGTACACCTGATCTTTAACTGAAATTGTTTTGTTGACTCACTTCTCAATAATATAAATTCTACCCTTGGTAATACCTACCCTCGTACGTACCTATATACACTTTTAGGGCTTATAAGAGAAATTTTAATTTCTGCACAGTAGAGGGTAGTAAGTATACAGGTTTTTCATTCATACATATCTTTAACAGGTTGGTGTATTAAATCAAAGGCACGAATTTAGTAGTGTTTACACAACAAATAAGTCATGTAAATAAGTACCTACTCCAAATTACTGCCCTTGCCTAATGCAATCATATACCTACACCTAATTTATTATAAAAATCATTTTATTTCGTTGTCCATTGGATACGATCGTGTTGGAAGGGTCTTATTAAAAATATTATGAAAGAATATACACGACATGAAATATGACTCATGTGACTGCTGACTGACTGATAAATTTATTTATATTATTAAGGTTCACCATCTTCATATTGTGATTGTTATTATTCGTTTCTTTATCGAATAATACAAGAATTGTAGCAGATAAATAATTATGACTAATATGATGCAGATAAATGTAATACCTAGATATTATAGGCATTAGGTTTCGTTACATAGATACCTACAAATAGGAGATTTGACGTTGTAAAGGCCGTATTAATAATGTAAATTCTTACTACAGAATAGTAAACTGAACAATGAAAATGTCAAGATGTATGAATTAGAAAGATAGGTACATATGTGCATACCTATTAGAACAAGTTAATACCCATATAATCATCATTAATTTACCTGTTGCCAATGATCATCCAGTGACAGTTGAGCTGAAAAATATCCAGTATCATGGATATCTTGTAATTCCCTGAAGATACTAACGCTAGGAAGTATATCCATGTTTATATTCACTGGTCACAAATAAACACAAAAACACACAGCACATACATTAAGAAGACAGTACTCAGATCAATATAGACATGATCACGTTGCCGGCATGTCTATGTATATAACCTAACACTACATGAACTATAAACGTGCAGAAAAATACAGTAACGTGCTTTAACTTCAAGCACAATAACATCTATTCAACTATAAATATTTAAAATATTTACAGATACACTTAACGAAATACATCATAAACGCAGAACGTTTTGAAACGAAAGTGTCAACAATTCCATGTTAACGCAAAACAAACTGCCGTCATATGTCCAAGTCTGAACTAACAAAAATGGAAATACAAAGTTTTGGTTGCTCAGGTGTTTTAAATTGCAGAATTTCAGAATATAGGACACTAAAATACAGCAAAAATTATACGCTCTTTGACGGAGCCTCACGGCACGACTGATCCGTCAACACTCGTTTGTTTTCGTTGTAGTCCCCGAACAGTGCGATCCCATCCTCCACTCCGGCTCTCGTACTGATTGATAACTTCGATCGTATGCGCACTAATGTTGCGTTATATCATACATTACAGTCAACCAAATAAATTTCACTTGTATTTTTGCATTATCCCTTTTAGTCATGCGGATGCCTCTTCCTCTTATCAAACACGAATTGAATACCTACCTACAAAGCTAGCTAATTGTGAAAGAAAAGCATTTTTTTTAATTACACAGTGTACTTTTTACAATTTTTTTTTTCAGGACTTACCTATACCTACGTTTACTGAAGTTAATTCATGGAAATGTATGTTTTACGTAGATCACAAATATAATACCTGCCGAGATATTTTAAAGTCAATCATTAATACAGAAAAAGTAATAACATGGTTTTTTTGTTTATTACTCCAATGCCTACTAGAAAAATTATAGTACCTACTTAGAGATTTACTTATTAGATGCTCTTTAGTGCTTACTTTTGTAGATAAGCCGTTTCTCAGAAATGAAAAAAAAATGTTTTATAGAGTTTATGGATATATATCCACTGTAATATTTATTTTAATATTATAAAAAGTATACAGGGTGTTCAGATATTCCCGTGTAGCAATAAAATTAAAACTTTAAGGCTGGTTTGAAAAAGATGATATAAATTCAGGAAAACGTAAAATATCACTAAATGAAACGATTTTTTGCTTCGGATGCTACGATCTTTTCAAATGACATTTCATATTTTTTTTGTTAGGTAATCCTACATTGTAACATATTGTAGTGTATGTGAAGTTAGCCCCTCCCACTTTTTGAGAAAGTTAAAAAAATTATTATATTAGACTGTGCTCCATACAAAAAATTGTAGTTTCCGAGAAAATGCAAAAATCTACAAGCTGCAAGCAAAACTAAATTTATAAAATCAACCCTTTCCCGCTAAGGATGTTTTTTTATTTTCATTTTAGTCACTATGGTAGAAATGCCCAATATAATGAAATAAATTTTTGATTGTTAATTCAATCTTTTTAATAACTTTACTAATACTACAAAAAATCAAAAATATTTTTTTGATTTTAATGCTCTATACAACGAAAAAGAGCAATATTCATAGTTTGACGCCAGCAATCATTTCTTAATCTTGGGGGGCTTGGGGGCTAAAGTGGGGTCCTAAAAGTTTAGGTTTTTCGCATTTTTCAGGGAAACATGACATGGAATTTTTGCAAATGGTAGATGACGTTAGCAAAATCCAAAAAGTGGAGGCTATAACTTCTCATTCAGTTCTCCCAATTCTCCGGGACCCCGAATGTCGTCAAGTTTTTCTTAGCGGCACAGTGTTCAAAACAACTTCCTATGTCGAGTAAAATTAGTTTTTTCCAAACTCCATGAAAAACCAGAAAATTTCGAATGTTTCGCAATCTTTGGAAAACCGCAACAAATATGAAGTTTTCCTTCACGAGCAACATCAACAGCAACAGGATTATCAACAACAATAACAACAACAACAACAACATCAACAGCAACATCAACAGTAACACCAGCAACAGTACCACCATCAGCAGCACCAGCAACAGCAGCACAATAACAATATCAGCAGCAACAGCAGCAGCACCAGCAGTAGCGACACCAGTAGCTGTACTATAACACCATCAGAAGCAACATCAACAGCAGCACCAGCAACAGCACCAATACTAGAACCAACACTAGCAGCAACAAAAAAAATAGCAGTAGCAACACGTCCTCAATGACAATATTCTTTGGAAAATGATAAAAATATGTCGTTTTTTTAATAATTCGCAATTAGTTTACGTCGTCGCAGTTTTCAGTAGATATTTAAAAAATTGGACTTTAAAATTAAAAATTTAATTTAAAATTTCAAAAAACAACTATTAAAAAAACGCATATGTTCCGTTGGAACTATATCTCACTGGAAAATACTCTCGCCGTAGGTCTTAACACAGTTGTTAAAATACAGGGTGTAACAAAAATAAGGTTACAAGCATTATCGAGAATAATGAGAATTATGTCGAAGACCAGTTCCAACAGGATGAAGCTCCCCCACACTACGCCTTGCCTATTCGACAGTATCTTGATCGTAGGTTCGCGCATCAGTGAATTGGGAGAAGACCTGCACGATCGCCGAATTAGTCTCCACTGAACTTTTTCTTATGGGGTCACTTAAAATCCTAACTAATAATCGGTCAAATGCAAGAAATAAAACACGGTTATGTAGAGAATTAGAATACCTTTCAAACGATGTGTCACTTAATCCTCCAGGGGCCCAGCCAGGACAAAAGGAGGTCCCACAAAGCGCCTACACCGGCCGCATTTGCGGTCGGGGTAGACGACGTATGGGGCCCACCTACGAAGGCTGTCCAGGCCTACACGAGATGAGGCAGGATAAAGAGGGATAATCCCCCTCCATCCCAAATCATTGAGGCCAATTTCTAGCCATGGAATAATGGCGATCGCGCGCGGCGCACTTAATCCTCCAACAAGAAATTTATGTCAAAAATCGACATGTCCGGCGTTTTTCGGAAAAATAATTTTCCTGAGGGTTACTCGCTCTGTTTCGTTTTCGCTGGGACGTCCTGTATATATTTTCAGCATTAAATGTGTAAGATCTCTGAAACAAAGCTGCATGAAATCTTGGTAATTGACGAAAATGGACATGTCTTAGATTAAGATTATGTCGATCAGCACGATAAGAAAGTTTATTCCGCAAAAATGGCGGCAAATTGTTTTTGAGTAATTTTTCACAAAAATAGCCATTTAATATTTATACAATTTCTAATCTTGAGCCAACCAAGTTTATTACATCTTTGAAATCTGCAGCAGGCATTCAAAACTTTTTGTAATAAATTTTGGGTAAATTTATCTAAATAGGCAAAATAATAAGTAATAAAACAATAATTAATGATAGGAATTACTAGACATTCACACAGTTTTTTACGTAATGTATAATTAAGTAGTAAATATCTATTCATATACAACAATTTTGATGTTCCATTTATATATCAATAAAGAGAAGTGTTTTTCAAACTCAGATCTGTGTCAAACAGGTCCCAAGTATTTGAAATGGAACAGCATATCTAACGACCTACCCTTAATAAGCTTTAACCTATACATAATTTCCTGCCGCTTGGTTTTAGAACAGAATAACATAATATGTAGTACCTATTATTTGGATTAAATTTCAGATTGTTGGAATTAGCATAATTAGCTATGAATTCTAAATCTTTGTTTATTTCCATAGAAGAAGTTGGAATTTGTATTATCAGCGTAAGACAATATATTACACGCCTTTGTATATAAGTAAATCACAAGTATAAATCAAGAAAATAGCAGCTAAAATCGACCCTTGAGGCACCCCGGAACTTATAAAAGTTAACGCGGAAGTTTCATTACCAATGACTGTCATCTGTTGACGATTTCTTCGATATATATTTTAATTTAGAGATCAGAAAGCATACTAGTGAAATAAATGCTGTAGCATTTCCAGAATCAAGTGAGCTAAATAAGTTATCTGTAGTTTCCAATAAAACGGTTGTTATACTGAAGCCTTTTCTGACGCTAGACTTAAACTAACAGAGTTTAAAATGTTATTTGAACAACAATAGATAGTTATACATTTGATTATAAATTGCTTTTTCAAGAATGCACACAATTTTAACATTTTAGCAGAGGGAGGTGGCAAAATTTCGCAGGTGTTTTGTAATAACAGCGCAAGATTTGATTTTGTTTTGCGACCGATTTTAAAATTTTGTGGGCACTTTTTGTAATATTAATTAATAATACAAAATATGCAGGATGCTTATACTGCTGTATAATGCAAAAGAAATTTGAAACGAGTGTCACAAGATAAGGGAAAGCAAAAGTTTAAGTCGAGTATACACTCTGGCCAGGTCACCGTCTCTGGTTATATAACTGCAAAAAAACACAGTTGATGTTCGGACGCTCGTAAACCGCCGGGTAGGCTGTTGCATGGTCCGGGTTTAGGTACAGAAGAAACCCGGAGCTCGTAAAAACGGCAGTCCGGTGGTGGTCGTCCCTGAAGGGTTGAAGGGCTGAAAATTAGTTTAGATGCTCTCTCTCTCTCTAATCATTGAGCATATACTACAGTAGAGAGAGTTACTTTAGTCACTCACGTGCTTGCGCGAGAGAGAACGATAATACCCAATATATCTCTTTCTTTGTCTGTCTCGTCTAAACTATCGGCGTAAGCTTGTTTCCTCCGTGTAGTATATGCTCTAAGGATTGATCACACGAGTCAGTTATATGAGTGAACTTCACAAAAACCAGTTATAGAGATTATGACTATGTTCAACATCACATGCAAAATTTGTCGCGCCGTTATTTTTGGCGTTAAACGTGGCCTCGATAATTTGATACCGAGGGGAACTATCCCTCTTTGTCCTGCCTTATCTCTATAGGCCTGGGCAGCCTCGTGAAGGTGGGCCCCGTCCATCGTCTACCCCGATCACAAGCGTGATCACTGACCGGTGTAGGCGCTTTGCGGGATCTCCTCTTGCCCTGGCTGGCCCCCGCCGGCAGTAAAAAATTTGTCAGCCTAGTTAACACTAGTTAGTTCTACTTAGCGTTAACCAAAAGCGCAATATACCGACAAGTAACGCTAAGTTAGCCGTGTTCGTTCGTGGTTCAATGACACGTTAGCACAAAAGCGTCTGTAAGTGCTAGTAAAACTTTGCGACGTTGAACGCAGCCTGTGGTCTTTTCTTGTGTGGTTCCGTTCCATTATTCCATTCCATAGAACAAAACAAATTTTAGTTTTGTAGTAGTTCAGTAATCTGTGGTTTTGTATTTGACTTTTGACATGCTTTTGACTATTTGTATTGTATCACAGAGTACCAACCAGAGATCCGAGTTGATAGGGAAAAGTTGTCTCTGTTTTTTATCTTTCTCTGAACCTTATTAAACCCAATACTTCTCTCTTTGTCGCTTTAAACGTAAAACAGAGCTAGGAAGAAATTTGAAATGGGTTTGGGAAATAATAATGTTTCTGATACAATTTAGTAGGTGGCGCTGGGTGGAAAATATTGATGAGATCTATTTTTTGAATTTTATAAAATTCGACAGATGGCCAGATAAGAAAACGAGAAGTTGATAAATTCAAGATACGTTCAGTAAAACTTATATGGTTTACAGAAATTAGTTAAATAGCAATGAAAATAATATTATTAACATTATGACGATCGCATTTTATATAACCTACGTATAGGTTGCAGGTAAGTACGTAAGTAAGTAGTTTATATATAGTGTTGATATTTGTGTTGTACAGTATTTTTTCAGTGCCCATTATTGTATCGACTGTTAATTTAATGTTTAAGTGTGAGAAACTTTTGGTTTCCATTTTTTTGACACTTGTGACAATGACATTATATTGTATTATTTGTGGATATTCCGAAGAGGACGTGAAAAAAATATTCTGTTTTCCACGAAACTCAGAGAAGTGAAAATTATGCATAATTTTTATTTTGACAAATATACATATATGTATATTTTTCCTTGATGATATAAGTAAACTTGTTAGTATAAAATGCGAAAAAAAAATCTCATCAGTAATCGAAAAATATTTGATAATTTTACTACTGAAAAAAAAATATCTATCTGTTATAAATTATAAAATATGATAATTATTTATTATAACGTAAAACTCTCAAATCATAATAAAAATATATTCCACTAATATATAAAAGAGCAGTTAGTACTTATTATATTTATATCTTATTTAGGTATGTCTAATATGTCAGTATATACAATTTATTGTATTATATTTTAGATCCAAAATCTGGCAAAAATCCCTTGGTATGATATATCAGGAAAAATTATCTGCACATTTACGACTTTGTGATAAGCATTTTGAAAAAAAAAATCTTTTAGCTACATATAAAAGTTAAATATATTGATAATAATATAACTCAGTGTATTATTTTTACCATGTCTAAATAAAAAATTAAAAAAGAGAAAAACATGCTTACATGTTACTGCACAAGATTTTATGCAAATTTTTGTATAAAGTGTAGGTTGAGATATTTCCAACCTGATATATTATATAAAATTTTACAGAAAATCTTGTATACTGGTAATAGGATTTAAAGAATATTTCAAAATTTCCGCTATGTGGCATACCGCGCCATCTACGTAGGTTTTACATTAAGAGCGAGAGAGTAAAATGATATAGCTCTGTCTCTTGAACTACAATTACAGTAATTACACGTTCACTTGGTCATCTGTTGGTAATCTGTGTATTGTATGTATTGTATTCCACTTTTGATTTATTTCATTTCTAATTTTCATTCTTTTACTGGCTGTTTTTGTACGAGATTACAATAAAATGGTTTATATACACTTTCCGGCAAATTTCACAGAAGAAGAATTGATGTTGCAAGCTAAATACCAGAAATTAAAGAAAAAGGTAAAAAATATAGGTTAATTAATTTTTTATTATTAAAATAACAAAATGCGGGGACTTATTGTTGAAATTTTTGTAATTTTTTTTGTGACGGTAGAAATCGGTAGAGGTAGATGATGTTTTTATAGCTTTGTTATTGAATTATAATCCAATAATTTTCTTCAAAAGGTTTCCAGAAGCGAATGTGCATATTTCAATGATAGCTTCTTAGGGTGATAATAAACAGAGTTAAATAAAATTTTAGAATAATTTTGCTTCCATGAGAAGTTTTCGAAGAATTTTTATTTCGTTCCTAGATAATTCCCTCACTTTAAAAAATATTAATAAAATTCAATATGGGGGAATTTGATCATCATTTATGTCGCTTTTAATATTGATCTATTTGTCTGCTTTCAACTATGACTAGGCTTACAGAATTGTTGCAGTCATATCATTTTGAGTTACGACTTTAGTAGATTGTCTATTTTTGTGACACGTATGACACATTTTTGGGCCTCTTTTCTATCACAGTCTGTTTCTTGTCCACAACATTTTTTTTGCAGATCTGGCGGCTTTTAATTGCCCATTTTGGAGGTACATTATATCTGATTTAATAAATCAATTTGTTTATTTAATCCCTATATTCTTTCATTGAATTCTTGAATGACGGCATCTTTTTGTCTAATAATATATTTAAATATTTCAATATCTATCTTTTTCCGTTCCCTCTGGTTTCGATAACAGCATCAATGTATCATCATTTTCTATTAACAATATTTGACAGCACAGTACTATCTCTTCTTCGATAAATTTTACATTTAACAATTTGGTACAACTAAAATGGTAGTTTACATCATTTAGGTACTATAAAGCTCACAGAAACACATGTTGAACTATTCATATTATAAGCGAGACCATATGAGAGTTATTTTACGGATCTGTTAATAAGTGGAATTTCCAGACACTATGTAATAAGATTTAAGATTATACTGTTGTGTGGCCCTTTCTTTAAGGGTTATTATAGCCTTATTCTTTGTCACAGAAAAAATCTTGTTCTGGGAACATTAGTGAGTTTGAAATAGACAGATTTTAAATTAGTGATGTATACAAAGAGTGTATAAAAAAAGTGTGGCAGATAAGGATTCATTTTAAATTAAACACCATGTATTTTTCTTGTTCCATTTGATACCTTCATTCCTTTCTACCAACCACCAAAGAAATGGTAAATTTCTTAATATCAAAATTCAAGTGTTATTACTGTATGTTATAAAATATAGGTTGTTCAATTTAAGAAAATTGAAAAAAAGTATTTTCACAGTATTAATAGATACTAATTTGAACACTCTTTATAAAACATTTTTTTTCGAACACCATTTTCATATGAAGTAGATCTAGCTATGCAAGAATAGTTGTCAATGATCAGTCTTTTTCAACCTCATTGACGTCTTCAGTAGATTTTTTTTTCTGGACACTATGATAGAAGAAGAGGCTACCAAATGAGTATCCCACATATTTTTAGAAAAAAGCCTTACAAGCTTTAAAAGCTCCAAAACCAGAGCCAGAGAAACCTATAATTCTTAAGAGACCTGCTGAAGCTAGAGATGCCAGAGAGGTCGCAAAAAAATTAATAAAATCGGGGGTAATACCTGCAATATCTAAACAACAGAAACAGCCAGAACAAGGATTTAAACGTCCAAGGGGTTTAGAAAGAAAATTAATATCAGATAAAGTTGTTAGTGGATACCAACCCTTTTCGGCAATTCAAATGGATGATGGTCCAGACAATCCTGAAAACAAACCACCTAGAATAAAGAATCTGTATGATACATTCGCAAATGCCAGAGATAGAGAAGAACGGGGCCTTTCTGAGAAACAACAACAGAAATCGGAAAAACCAAGGCAGGGCAATACAATTTACGTATCGGGTTATAAAATTACTGAAGAATTTTTGAAGAAGCATTTTTCAACCATTGGAAACATAATAAATATATCAATGGAAATTGAAAAAAAGTAAGTTATATCATTCACAGCTACAATATATATGAGTTCGTTTATATTTTTGTCTATTTTCTAACGCGAACAAATTGTAGTTTCAAAATTTTTGATGTTGCGGTAAAATTGATGTTGACCCAAACATTTTTTACTCCTTATTATTCTAATTATTTATTATTCTTCTATGTCGATAAGGCTTTGACCGCAATATTACTTTTATTGCAAAGTTGCAGTCTTAGTGGTCTCACGGCAAGTTTTTATATCATGAAGAGATCAATTTATTTTTAATTATTTCTGTACACTCCTTTTTATGGAGAATGATTTTTAAATTAAATCACCTTTTATAAAAAAATTCTGTATGGTAGAAATTTTTTCTTTTTGAGCTAAATACAAAAACAACCCAGATAAAGTATGCTTTTTATATCTATTTTATAGCTTTTCTTCAATTTTATTCATTTATCATTTGTTGATATTACTAAACTTAATGTTATATTCACATATAAGTAATAATGAATATTTCTTGTTACAGTCGAGGATTTATAACTTTTGATAAAGTTGAGGCTGCTGAAAGAGCTATTTCAGAGGTATGTATTGATCATTATGTTTTAAGGATCTTTTTCCCTACTGCGAAAATATTAACTTGACAGGAATTATACACATAATTTGTTGATTTGAATAATTTTCCGACTTTCAATGGAACCGTATTTCAGCGATAAAAGTTTTATTTGTGTTATTTAAGTAGGAATTTGAAACTGACTATTCCATGAGTGTAGATAGGTACTTTATACACAATTTGCATACAAAATTATAAACAATGTGACGTACTTTCTTTGCGCGGACTCAGGTGCCGTCTAGTACAGTCTCTTGGGAATTGTCCAGGTATACACTGTGGGGAAAGGTAGTCCAGAGTTCAAGAATAAGTATTGTAACGGAAGTCGCTCTGCTGTGCTTTGTTTACTTAATTGTTTCATATGTTCTATTTCGGTTTTTTATGTTCTTAGAAGCTAGATATTCTATACTGTTAGAAACCTATGGAAATTTCGAGAAACATTGAAAAATAAATTTTTCATTATTGTGAAACGCTGTTACCAAAATTTGTAAACTGTTGTGTTAAATAAAGGAAATTTGTTACAAATTAGTGTCAGAACATAGAAATAGTAATCGAAGAAGAAATTACAACTGTAAGAAAAGAAGTAGAAGATATGAAGAAAGAATATTAAAATAGGCAAAATGATAGATCATATATATTGGAATGTCTGTAAAAAAGATATTTTGTGAAGAGCGAATGAGCAGAAATAGACTAAAGTGGCTAAAATGTTTCCAAATTGCAAAACTATAGTGTTTGAAACGGGAAACAATGAGCGATATTAAAGTTAAATTGGAAACATCAGATGGTGATAGTACTCAACTCAAAATCAGAACTCGGAACTTAAAATAAATTGGTAGAAAATTATTCCGAAATATCATTCCCGAAAGTATTTCCGACTAATTCACAGATTAGACTCGTCACAAAATGTCATTCCAAAAAGATCGGAGAACATTTACGTACCCATTATTTTGTTGTAATATAATTTTAATCATAAAACATTCATTAAAATAGTCTACATGTAAAAAATTGTGTACTAGTTTAATGAATGTTTTAATGACTATAATACAGTTTGGTTTGGAATATTTACCTAGAAATTTCTAAATTGGCAACTTTAAGTATGACCTCACTTATTGTAAGTGAAATTTATTACATTTTCCCTCCTTTTTTTATTATTGAATTTGTTCTATGATCAAAATTTCGTAGTGTTCCTGAGGCAGAAATAATACAGGGTGTGCCATTTAACTCTCCCGCTGCAAATATCTTCGAAATAAAAAAAATTATTTTAGTTCCGGAAATTGGGGTTGTTAAGTCCCTCTATAGCTTCAAATTGTAGTTAGAATTGTTAGTTCAAAACTTTCTGTATAGATGGCGTGGCGATACTAAAAAATTTTTTGTTCCCTGGAACGTGAAAATACAGTCCATCGTTAAATTTTGAGTAATTTTTGTAATATAAAATTTTTCCCTATATTTACTTGTTTTCAAGATATGTCGACTTCAATCTGCAATATTATGCAATAACGGGAAAATATATTATTTTATTTAAACGACACTGAGACAATATTGTTATAATAGCTTTATTCACATCACATACTAACTAACAAACAATAAATTATTAAAAAAATGATTGATCAACTAATTAAAAAATTGTACCTACAATGGTAAGTCTTATAAGGGGCAGAGACAAACTGTATTTTATCAAATGTTATTAAAAAATGCAGTCATAGGTGGCTCATGTCAATTGTTTAAAATAAAACAATGACAGATGACATTAGTTTTCCAATAGTTACAGTTTTATCAGTTTGCGACTCTCAATTTAACTATACATACTAGTTATAAAATTTAGCATTGTACAATTTTTTTTCTGTAGTTGATCATTTGTTTTTTTTATAATTTATTGTTTGTAGTTAGTATGTGGTGTGAATAAAGTAATTTTAACAATATTTTAAAAGATTACTTTGTCTCGGTGTGATTTCGATAAAATAATAGATTTTCCTGCATTTCCACATTCCAGCAACCCCAATTACCAGAACTAAAATAAATTTCTTAATTTCGGAGATATTGGCAGCAGGAGTGTTAAATGGCACACCCTGTATAGTTTCGAAAGCTTGAACAGAAAAATGAGTATTTTTTTTTTATAAGACTGATAATCCGATTATGTACTGTATATATAAGATTTCAAATTTAACAATCAGCATCTTGCAAACAACTGTTGTGACAACATGGAAAATAGAGGAGTTTTGCTCGTGGAGGTTATAGAGGCAGATTCTGCCACATACCCATTTCACTCCCCGGCTAGACAATGGTCCTCGTCACGGAGTGATAATACGGTGACAATATACGAGTATGACGAGGAATTGAAAGATGGTAACGATCAACAACCAGATTCCACGTCTCCGGGAAGGTCTGGAGCCACAACGCGAGATGATCTGAGTGGCGACGATGGTAAGAAAATAATGTGATAGTTTACAAAATTATTTTTTTTTGTGCAAAATTACAGATCGTTTAATTCTCTGGATATTGTGCATTCAACAGTGTCCGATGACTTGATGTTGGATGTCATGGATGGTATGAAAATGAAACGAATGAATAAAAAAATGTAACAATAATAATTTCTTTGTGTTTAATTGTAGGTTGCTTAGATGCCTGGTCGAATATGGTTGGCTAGAAGAATTAGATATTTAAATTAATAGTTGTATTTTATATTTATAATATTATTACAAGCGGTGAAATAAAACTTAAACTAATTAAATATGTTGTATAGTTAATCTGTCAGTACATGTTAAAAAAATTTCCTTCATCCCATAAATAAATAAAAAAAAATGAGGACTTAAAAGATTCTAAGTAGAATAATAAATAAAACAAACATATATATCGCATAATATGCAAAAAATGTGCATGTAGTAATAACTCATTTTTTATAATTTTATATCATTTTTTATATAATTGAAGATGTATAAAAAAGAAGAGAAAAAAATTAAAAATTATATATATGATAATGCCACATATAATATAATAACGCCTTAAAAAAATATTTGATTTACCTTTGTTTCTTTCGTAACAAAAAACACAAACAAAATTAATTAACATACTTTTATTCCAAATTTCATCCACGAGTAGAAGTTTTCTAATACAAATATGAGTACCACTTGTTTATTTTTAAAGTTTTGTAATAACAGGAATCAATATATATTTTATTTTGTAATGGAAACTATTGTGGTTGCTTTAAATCAAACCTCAGCTGGTCACACGGAATGCGCCAGTCAAGTGTTTATTTGCTCCTGAGATAATGTAATTTATGAGTACCAAAATGTAGCCGAAACTGAAAGAGGGTGTTCTTTTTGACAGTGGTGCCTAACCAGCACCTGAATAAGGTTGATTATTTTAATATGTGTGTGCTAGCTTGAATACATTTGTTTAATGAATTGTGAATTTGTGAGTAATATGCCATACTCGTTTTTGTTTATGAAAACCCCTGGGTGCGCCATCTGTTCCCGGTCTTAATGGCTGTGGTTCCTTTGAAGTGTGCCTTGTAAGTTCTACGGGGTCTTACATGTGCTTCAATTAACATACTGGGTGGTGTTGAGGTAGGTGACATAATAATATGACTCATACACCCGCTAGTTGGCATCCGAGGGAGCCTTGACTTATTTCAGGGGATACTAGCTAGTTGAAGAAAGAATGATACATGTTTGCTAATTAATATAATGGAAACGTATGGAAGGATGTACCTTGACTCCTACAGTTAGGGCTGTTTTTATTGACAGAACAGTAACTTTGATATTTGTTTCATATACCCTCTTAATTTCTGGCGAATGTCCCGGCGGTTGTCGAGATAAACTGCTTTGCGATGACCCATGTATAAAGTACAATAACATTTACTTTACATATGCCTATCTATTGTATTTCATATTATTTTGTGATTGCAAATTAAAACAAAAAATTAGTAAGGAATATGAGTTTTTTTTCTGGACCTCGTTAAAAATTTTCAAAAGTATCCGGATACCACCTAAAATTACTTGCCTACCCATGGTCTGTAGCATAGCGTACTGACTAGGCCTGGGATTTGATCTGTAGTAAATGTAACTTTTTTTTCAATTAATCCAAAATTTCTTGCAAGTGTGGAAGTTTAGAAATATATAGGAGGGAACCAGATTGACGTAATGGGCACTAGCACTAGAGAATATGTAATCTGTTTTTTGGAAAAAAAATCGCTAATACCAATTAGCTGTATTGACGTCAAAAAACGCATCCTAGTTGGCCGTGTATTGCATTAATAAAAACAGCAGTATCACAGATTTTACCCTATATTTCAAAGAAAAAAATATTTGAAATCGGCTTACAGGCTTGTATCACATTTAAGCGCGAACACCCCGTATATCAGTTTTTTAAGTTGTAGTCCTGCACTATCAGTGTTGCCAGTTGTTTTTAAATCAACATAAATCTACATTGTGCGGACGGAGTTATAATACAAGTTTATTTTAATACCCTGTATATTTAAAACAAAAGTTTGTTTATTAATGTTGTTAGAAGCAGATCTGAGCAGTAAACGCATCTTTATCAGAACAGATGATCTGATTTTATTAAACTTGTATCTCGCAGTAGTTCATAGGAAAAAAATCTCATTTTGATATTCTATTATGGTAGATTTTACCGAGACACCCTACATTTTTTTATACCCGGAATTGTTGTAGATGGATGGCAGTATGGTGTCAGGGATTCAACTTAAAGTTTCATTAGCGAGAAGGCAACCTCAAATTGAACCTATTAATGATGCAACGTCTTCTGCGGCGTGGGCTACCTTAGGTATGAATTTTTTTCTTTATTATTAAAAGAAAAATTGACTTTGTAAACAGTCCCATTACACAGTGTACACAAAGATAGATATCGAATCAAGATGTGATTTTAAATAAGTATATCAGTAGTAATGTGTTTTAAAAAAATGGGGCGAATATAATACAAATTCTAATTAATTGATACAATTATTTTTTAATGTTTCAGCTTCAAGTCATTCTCAAAAAGGAAATCACAGAGACAAAAGGGACCTTGTATTTTACGATGACATATTTGAGTAAACGAAATGTTTCTAGAATAAATAAATATGAACCTATTCAGTTACGTTTGTCCATTTTTTATTACATTTCATTCCAAAATAAATTTAAAATTTCAAGATATTTAGAACATAAACACGGCTTGTACAACCCAGCTACATCAGTTAAAATAAAATCTAAAGTTGTGCATCATAGGTCGTGCATCGTTTTCAGCTGACGAAGGGCTTGTGTTGTTTTGGACGAGTACAAGGGAGTATTTCAAAAATTATGTACACATGTTCCGAACCATGAGGTGTTTTTAAACACGATATTAGTAATCAGTGCTCAAATATCTGTATATACAGTTATAGTTTATTATTACAAAGTACATTGTAGCTACATTTAGCCGTAGCTAGGAATCTTTTATCTGCCCTTGTTCTCGGGCTCTGTGAGGATGGATCAGTTATTAGAACTCCTAGGTTCGTTCTGATATTAATTTCGGTTCTTATTACTGGTCTTAAGTCCGCTATGGACAGAACAGCTTTTCAGATAATGGTAGTCCTCTGAGACGTTCCATAGTGGCCTCTGTAAATAGTCGTATCTAATGCTTCCAAATATTAGCCATTCTTCACTGTCAGCATTTTTAGTGGTAACTTTGTTGTAAAGGTCTATTATATGTTTTGTGTGTAAAGGCTTCACGGAATTGTGAATTAATACTTTGTCACCAACATAGGTATTGGTGCACGCGCATCTGGACCTGCGCAGTACAATGGTGGGAGGTCTCTTGTGTTTCCGATGACATGAATACAGCTGCGTGCGTTTCTAGTCCTGTGGAGTGGGGTATAGGGCGTGGCCTGCGCAGTAGGATTGTGCGCGTGGTTTCACGTTTGTCTCCGGTATCACTGCTGTCGTTGCCTATGCTTTCAGGCTCAGTGGTGTCACACATTTCCAAGACTGTAAAACCACGTCATTTTCACAAGTATCTCGGTGTCTTTGAAATTTATTGTATATGCAGAATAAATAAGGATTCAAATTTTTCTGTTTAAAAAGGTTTTTTTTTTGTTAAGAAACTACTGTACAAACGCTCCCCTAAAGTCTATCTCTGGAGCCTCCCCTGAGTTAGGCCGTCAGCGGCCAAGGGGTAGCGCGGTCGACGCTGTTAGATCTAAAAAAGGCTGTTTCAAAAATTAGTCAATTTGTTATAATAACGTAGTAAAAGTTGTAAATGTAATAAATAGTAATGATAAATTGATAATCATTATAATTATAATCAGATTTGAGGGCATCATCGATCGAAATGCCTTCTGGATCTGAACGGTCTACGTACGACAAAATTTGTGGGCAACGATCAGCCCCGGAGCCGGGGCCGCAGGCCGCGAAACAACTCCGCGCCACTCTATCGTACTCTTCCCCGCACCAGTTCACCAAGTCATTTGGCCCGTTGGCCGCGTGCATCCTTAGCTAAAATGGTAGCATTTTCGTGAGTAGTCACGGAAACCTATGTACCCCCAGGGCGGGAGTAGCCACCGCCACACGCGCCCGCGACAAGAAGATCGCCGTCAGAAGAGGCCTCCTCAACAGAAGGTTCCACAAAGCGCCTACATCTGCTACGCTTGTGGTTGGGTTCGACGACGGATGGGGCCCACCTTCAAAAGGCTGTCCAGGTCTATATATACTACTGGAGGCAGCGTCGCAGTGGCCGAGAGTGTCGCGGAGGTTTTAGAGAGGAAGAGGTATAGGATAGTATATGCTATCTCTCTCTAGCAGCATGCGATTGGCTGCCGTCCTCTCCACCTATCAACCACAGAACCAATCGCATGCTGCTAGAGAGAGACATAGCATTACCGTCCTATACCTTTCTCTCTCTCTCTACAACCTCCGCTACACTCTCGGCCACTGAGACGCTGCCTCCAGTAGTATATGCACTAAGGCCCAGGCCTACAGCGAAGAGCAGGACGAAGAGGGATATTCCCCTTTGGTTCCAAGTCATTTAGGTCACCAACATCGCCAAAAATAACGGCGCGGATCCCCACGGTCTATAAACGTCAAAATTTATGATCAAGGGGTGGCCCGTACTTTACTTTGGGCCCTTTGGGGGCTTTCGTTTTGGCAAAAATAGTACCTATTAGCAACTAATATCAGTTCAGAGTAACTTTTTTTAGTATTTAGAATCTAAAGTTGCTATTAGCTACTAATAGCTACTATTTTTGCTAAATCGAAAGGCCCTCTTATCTGACTGCCAGCGTAGTTTATAATTTCCATGATACTGCGGCGGTACACTTTTTTTTAACTTGTGGATCTGTGGTGCCTGTATTATAAAACAGTGATGCCAAATTTAGAGATTTTTTCATAATTCATTTTCATATTTCAAATATTTCATATTCCAAATTTGCAAAATTAGGGAAATAGGGTGTTATATGTAGGGATTTTATGCTTTCCTTTTAATTTCACACTATAATAACATTTTCTTAGATGCAAATACCCAAGGATTTTAAATCCTTGGCAAATACCTATGATAATGTATCAACGCATTATATTATTTTTTTCCATAAAATTCAGTAGCATTTTTTTTTATTTGGAAGACATTCAGTCAATGCTGAATTTCGAAATTTCCTATTAGATAATTTTAAGGAATTTCTGGTAAATATCCTAAGGAATAAGCGAACGCTTATCAAGGTGGTACTTCAACCGCAGCTAACCTACGCCTCCACGGCGTGGGGTCACGCGGCAAAAAGCCACTTAAAGTCATTACAGGCTGTGGAAAACATAGCCCTCCGCACGGCCACCGACGCGCCCTGGTACGTAAGAAACACTGACATATTACGAGACTTACAATACACAAACGCTACACAGACAATAAGACAAAACGCGGAGAAACGATTTGACGTAGCCGCTAGACATGACAATCCCCTCCTCAGGCAAGCCGTTGACTACGTACCCGACGTGACCGACAAACACAAAAGACCTAGACACCAACTTTTTGACCCTGGGTGACCACCCCAATGACCCCCCCCTGCCCGCTAACCTTTTCTGTTTCAGAGACAGCCAGGATCAAGAAACGAAGACAACGACACACACACACACACATACACACCCCCCATACCCTCCTTACCCCTCCCCTCCCGCGCTAGCCTAAGGGCCACCTTAGCAAAGCGCATCCCAGGCTGCATAGCCGCACTACCCTACCCAACCATACCACACATAAACATGACACTACCCCCGGGGTTTACACAGACGAGCCGGCGAAGCAAGAAGAGCGCCAGAAGAAAGGGCCCTAGCCGGCGGGGCCCAGCCAGGACAAAAGGAGGTCCCACAAAGCGCCTACACCGGCCGCATTTGCGGTCGGGGTAGACGACGGATGGGGCCCACCTACGAAGGCTGTCCAGGCCTACACGAGATGAGGCAGGATAAAGAGGGATAATCCCCCTCGATCCCAAATCATTGAGGCCAATTTCTAGCCATAGAATAATGGCGCGCGGTAAATATCCAGGTGCTTCAAATATGCCCATCTGGCATCACCGCTTTAAAACCATAACCTCAAAGCAAACAACGAAAAACGCATATAACCTAATTTTAATGTTGGTGTCATGTCCGTTTTATGTTTTGTTGTGTGAGTTGCTGTCTTCATATAACGAAAATTAAAATGTTTCTGTAAATAAAAGCTGATAAATACGTAGCCAATTCTTTTTTAATGTGACAATAATAGTGGTTGAAAAAATGCAAAGAATGCCGTATATGTCGGATCCTACCATTATTCCACGAGTACAAAAGGTAAACAAACAAAATATAAAAGATAACATAGCAACATACAGTGTGTTCTAATACCGATTGAAATAGGCAGTAGAAAATTTAAACAAAAAAGATCTTATAATATTGGTCCAAAAACTTTTAAGAAGTACAGGGTGCGTAAATTAACTTGTTAAAAAACGGTTTTTTGTGCAATGGCGGAAACGACAAATTCAAATTCAGTGCATACTATAAATTTGAAAAAAATTATAGATTTACATCTATATATAAATAGTTTTCCAAAAATTGATAATAAGGGAGATACTCCACTTCAAAAGGGATAATAGAATTTTTTTTTGAGATATCTTAAAAGTTCTTTGTGATATATTCATATTTTAAACTTAGACTTAGAACACCTGGATACTAATTTATGCAGTATTATTCAGTCCCACATCTTTGATTAGGATTATTTTAAGGAATGTCTCACTGTTTCATCCCCAATTTTTTTTTACAAAAAAGGTCTTGTTTAACAAATGTAAACAGGTTAATAGAACATTTTCATCAATGAGAAAAATTGCTGACGAAGTGAATATGACAAAATCTACAATTGGAGATATAATTAAAGCATACTGAGCTCTGGTCGACCACCAAAGTTGATAAAAACCCCTTGATAACATTTGCAAAAGCCGAAGAAGGGCTGTTGTAGGAAAAATTACCGTGGTGTAGAACCAAGAAACAAATATTAACATATCGAATGTTGCCAGTGGATATGCAATTCAAGTTACTGTTTTCACAAGGTAAAGTACCCTTAATGGCAATAATTATTAACGACGATAGCTAAATAATGATTTTTTTGATCAATGTAAAAGAAAAACTATATTTGATGGAACTCAAGACGAAAAAGCATTTAGCTGGTTTAAATCAAAAGTGAAGTAATTTTCAGTGATGATTCCAAGTTTGACGGTATTGAGGATTTGTATAAATGCATGATATCGGCATAGGGGGTAGGAAGACTAGACTTCAGTAACAGCATTGTTAATGCAGATAAATATGGAGAGATGTTTTGAAGACTAATTTACTGCACCGGAACAATTTGACAGTAATTTTATTTTCCAACAAGTTGGTTTATATGGCCAAACTTACAGAAAATGGTTTTGAGACGATGATGTTAAAAGCGTAAGCTTCCGCAGCCCAGACCTAAATTCACTGAAACATTATGATACAACAATAGATCATTGCTACACAGGACAATTCCTGATCTTAAAAGAAAAATCCAGGAAACTTTTCAGTCTGGAGTTTTGTAGATCCTTACTGGACATTATGCCAAAGAGAATTGGCACTGTTACGAATTACTAAATCATAGCAAACTCTTTCGTTTGAACATTTATTTGTCACCACATTTTCATTGTAGTTCCACCTTTTTTTTAAATAAATACAAGTTATTAGCTTTCTTGACTACCGAACTTGTGACAATCCTTATTCGTTATTTGTGTAGTTAAGTGAATTTGGAAAACTTTATGTAAAAATTGCATCAAATTTATAGTAAATATTTAGTTGTTAGTTTAGTTGCCATAAAATATAGGGGTGGTGTTGTCCAAAGTGAAACACACTGTATATATTTTTTTAGTATTTAGAATCTAACGTGGATAAAACTTACGTGGATATAAATGTAATGGCCGATGATTTACAACAGAAATATAAAGAATATGCTAAAAGGAAAAGAAGTGCTTTTCGTGCCTCAGTGAGTAAAGCATACTCCATAGTTTTAAGAAATTATGGTATAGAGGACCCAGGAAGTTCAGAAGAAGAAACTGACTTTATAAATGAAAATCACACCACATCAAAAACTTCATTTGTTAATAAGGTAAACACTGCCAAAAGAGCTTAAATAACACCAAACTGCTTAATTTTAATTTTTTTTAGGCAAATATTTATGTTTTGGTTTCAAATTGAAAGAGAAAATCATTTCAGTGCAAAATTTTAGGTTTAACATAGATAATTACGTAAAAGTAATCATCAAGGCCTTTATTTGATCCATTATTAATTTTTTTCTCTGAAGGTAAACTAAAAAAATTCAAATAGATATGCCTCAAGGATATAATTTCCAATAATAATGTACCTAGTACTTTCTATATTAAATATTTTTTATATCACTTAAGAATTTTTAAACACTTTATATTTAGATTGGCATTTTTTAATAGAAATGAATTTAAGGTCACGTTAAATTCAACTTTTATAATTTTTTGTAGTAATGACTGTTTCTATGGTTTTTAAATACGTACCATAAATTCATGCATTTGTTCTTTGGATCATGTAATCCAAAAGAGTTCAGTAAACCAAGAGTACTGTCATTGATTTTCTAGATACAGTTTGAATTTTAGAAATGTACCACGAAACATTTCTAAAAAGTTTTAACCGAAGTTACTGAAACTTGGGTTTAAAATTTATCTAATTAAATGTAAAAGTTTACTCAAATGGTATCGAATCTGTTAATATTTTGGTGGAGGTAAGACAGGTACTGATTACTAAGGACTACAATTTTAAATCGAAACAACTTTTTATGTCAAATACAATTTCAAATACACCGCAACTATTTTAAGTCGAAAAATATTAAATTTTTTATAGCGCTGTGCCTCCTCACTGTTCCGTAGATAATCATTAAAAATTTATGTAGTGTTTTTCTCTTTCGATAGTTCAAATTTTTTTTTTTAATTAATAGTTTTATATTAGTTATTTTAGATTTTAATTTAAAAAAATGGAAATAACAATATTATAACTAAACAAAGTAAACAGTAGTTTTCACGAATACAATTACTCTATAAATAATTTTCTAATTACCAGATTTTTTTCAATGGGGATGGAATATTCACTCAATGGTATCAAAATTCTGGGTTCTTAGTGACGGTGCTTCTAAGTTTGTGATTCTTCGAACGCAAATATGCTGTATACATACAATACATATATTTTTTTTACTTCAGCTCAATAACTCTATGAATAACCAACTTGTGGATATGTACAGAACGCCTCCAACAAAAGCTATAGAAGAAAATGAATTTATAGATATTAGCAGTGAAGATTCAGATAAGAGTTCCAATTTTAGTAATAATAAAGTAAATAACAGTTCACAAAAAATAAATTACTCTGAAAAAGATATAAACAGAAAAAGGGTTGTCTCACAAGATGTCGAAGCGAATGAACAAAAAGAAGAAATTAAAAAGAGGAAAATGGAGCATATTAGTGTTCCTGCAAGTAGAGAAAATAAGAAAAAAAGATCTGTAGGGATTTTTAAAAAAGCCACTTATACATTTAAAGATATTGCTGGTATGGACAAAACGTTAGAAGATGTTTGTAAGTTAATAATACATGTTAAACATCCTGAAGTATATAAAGACATTGGAATATCTCCACCTAGAGGATTTTTATTGCATGGGCCTCCAGGTTGTGGGAAAACTTTATTGGCGAATGCTATAGCTGGGGTAAGTATTTAAAATGTAGGAGACATTGTCATTTTCGTCTTAATTTTTTTCTTAAATTTTTGTTCACACTGGGTGGCATACACCAGGCCACTCTATTAGTATAGTAAGTTGTATCACCACTTGTCCGCACTACCGATTGTTACCTTTTTAAATCAAATATAAAAGTATTTTTTAGCAGCAAATAATGAAAAATTTAATAAATATGTAATTAACACTTTAATATTAAATATGGTGTAAAATCCAGTAATTTAATTCCAATTGAAAATCACTCTAACACTGTTCCATTCACAAAAACAATCTGTGGGATTTTTTTTTTGTTAAATACAATGTAATTATTAAATCAAACAGTTATTGGTGTAGAAATTTTTATTTTGTAAGTTACGCTACAAATAAAATCATGTTCCTTACAAAAAATTTGCATATACTTAATTGTATAATGAACACTTTAAGGTTATTTTTGATTTATTCAGCTGTTTGGTGAGTTTGTAAAATAAAAAAATTGTAACTACATTGAAAATCGGTTATAACGACCTTCAGCGGACCGTTTGTTTATGGTTGTTATAACTCATATACATAATAAGCAATTACATATATTATATTTAAAATTTTTATAGAAAAAATGATAAATTTACAATACAAGTCTTTAAGTATTTAGTATTCGAAATTTTGAGTTTCTGGTAGTAAACTATTTGTTTCGTCACCTGGTGAAGTTTTCCGATTGAAATCTGGACCATTCTAATTAATTTTAAATTAAAAAAATTATGCATGCAAAAATTACGTTAGCAAACAGCATTATAGAGAATTACAAAAATAAATTTTGAGTTATCTTTTTCTTACAGGAACTGAACATACCTTTACTAAAATTAGCCGCACCAGAATTGATAGCGGGAATATCTGGTGAAAGTGAAGAGAGAATACGAGATTTATTTGACCAAGCGAAAACGACATCTTGTGTTTTATTTATCGACGAAATTGATGCTATTACTCCGAACAGGCAGAATGCACAGAAAGAAATGGAAAGGAGAATAGTAGCTCAGCTATTGAGCTGTTTAGACGGTAATTTATTTTTTTATTTAAAGAATATAAATAATAATTTTTTTTAGTCCACGGACTTGGAAAAATTATTTTCAGCTGTCATTGCATGGACCAGATAGCTTGTTTATTCAGCTTCAGTTTCCTTTTTTTTTTAAATTTCGATACGACCATTTTTCATCGAAATATCGGATTTTTAATGGAAAAGGATTCTTTTGTCTTCAATCATCGATATCTCGGTGACAATTGGTCCTACAGAGAATTGAAGGGCAGTTTCGAAAACTGGAATAAATTTCCTATAAGATGCTGCCACAACTTTGCGTAAAATTTTTTTTTTTTTCATCTTTTACTCGAATTTTAAAAAACGGAAAAAAGGGTAATTTATGGTTTTTTAGAAAATTGACGACTAAATTAGAACTATTCACGAAATGACTAATGTTAAGCATGACTTTTACAGTTCGATATACCCAGAAGAACCCTGTGAAGTTTCATCTCGATCTAGCAAACCGTTTCTTTGTTTCAAACAGTCAAACATTTGAAAAAAATTAAAGGGTCACGTCTTTTGAGCTTAAACACTTCATAATCATGAATTTTTTTTTTAGGTTTTCACATTTTTACCACAAGTAACGTTTAAATTGATGAAAAAAAAAATATTTTTTTTTTTTGGAAAAGCTCCGGATATTGAAGAAAACAAAATCCAATTGTTTCCAACACGATTCGACTTTTCCGTCCTACCAATTTTTAATTAAATTAAAATTAAAGTTGACCCAAAATAGATTTCGATCCCGATTCATACCGTTTTTTGAGATAAATTTTTATTTAATTTTTGTGCAGTCTGTAATCACTTAAAAAACAGTTTTTTTCAAAGCTACCCTTTTTCTTCTCTGAGAAATAATTTCAATTTTTTTCCACGGAAAAATTTCGGAAATTCTTTTGACCCTTTAATTGTTTGCATTAGTGTATATAAAAACTTGCACCATTATTTTTTTTGAGCCCTAAATTTTTTATTCTGTTTCCGGAGATCCCATATTTATGAAAAGCACCTTCTGTTGTGTGTTAATTATTCAAGAGATTAAATTTTTTGTTTTGTTGTTGATACTTGAGGTAAAAAATATCACAGAAACTATATGTATATTGTGAAATTTTTAAATATGAAAACGAGTTGAATTTGTTTTACATTAAAAAGCAGTGAAATTTAATATTCCATTTTTAGTAGCTGTTTTTTTTTATTGCAGAATTAAATGACGGTGAAAATACTGTTTTAATCATTGGGGCCACAAATCGACCGGATTCTATAGATCCCGCATTAAGAAGGGCTGGTAGATTTGATAGAGAGATATCCGTTGGTATTCCTGATACTCAAAGCCGAGCTCAAATTTTAAAACTTCTTACGTCCAAGCTGAAGTTATCTGAAAACTTTGACTTTGAACTTCTTGCGAATTACACTCCAGGTTATGTGGGAGCTGATTTGATATCATTAACAAGAGAAGCTGCAATGCTGGCCGTAAATAGGTAATAGATAAAAGTAAAATGTTTATATTATTAAAAATCGTACTCGTATTATCTTACAGGCTACTTGAAGATATAAAGCAGCTTCGTAAGGCGAAACAGGAATTAGCCAATGTAACAGAAGGTTGTATTCCCGAAAACGTGGAAAACGTGGAAAATATTAAATCTCAAGAAATAATTGTGGACAACATAACTAATGACCTAACATCCTCCGAAAAACAGATAGAAAATCCAGTCGTCATTATCGATGATGACATCACAATTAAACCATCCGATCAGAACTTACCTGTAGATAAGAGTGAAACTGTTACAGATGAACACGAAAAATTATCAAGCAACCCAACTCAACCATTCTCACCGTTACAGGATCTGTTAACTTGGTTGCACGATGAGTCTCCTTTTTCTGAACATCAGTTGAAAGATCTGTGCATAAGTATGAACGATTTTGAAAGAGCTTTGAAGTTAGTCCAACCTTCAGCAAAAAGAGAGGGTTTTGCCACAGTTCCGGACGTTACATGGAATGACATTGGCTCTTTAAGGGATATAAGGGAGGAACTACAGATGTCTATAGTAGTGAGTAGAGATAATTTTTACATTAGCGGGAATATCTTTCTAATTACAAAATAAAGTGTACCCAATCTAGGAATCTCTGATCTGCTCTTCTTGCTCTCAGGATAGGCTCTGTGGGGGCGGATTTGCTATCAGAATCGCCCCCAGGCCCACCGTAATGTTCGTTTTTGTTCTTGTTGTTTGCAATTACTAAAATAGTCATGTGGTTATATAAAAATCTGATATTTTCGTCACACTCTCTTCGTTAACATTCCCTTTCTTCTCCGCGTACAATGTACCTCCTTCTCGTAAGGATATGACCGCATAATGGCTGGATCGTTCGTCAGTTGTCTCACCTATGACACACTGATGAGGACTAATAAGTCTGAAACCAGTCTGTGCCTGGTGGGTTAAACTGACTAACGATCGTAGCCGTTGCACTAGGTGTTGCGGGTATAATTCAATACCGGGCGGGGCATATAACTCACGGAGTAGTTGTTTCTCGCAACACTGATAATTAAAACATTGCGTTTCGCGCTCTGTGGGTGGCAGTCGTGCAACAAAGTACCTGGCAATATAGCAGGCCGCTTCCTACTGTAGCCATTTGAATGGTACAGTTGGGAGTTAGCGCGACAGATGGAGCCATCTGCGCTTCGCGTACAATTCCCCTTCTTTTGTTCTGTATCGCTCTCCATAGTGTTTTCAGGGTTTCATAGTACCTCGTAGCATTAATTGTTTTCCACTGAGGCAAAAAGTCAATGAGGAGAATCCGTTTATGGTCCCAAACAACGAGCCGAAACAACGGTTTTCAATTTTTTCCTGATGGTGAAGATGGATGTCGCCACTGCATTCATTGTCTTTTCGTCTGAAGGGTGTAATGGGCCGCATGTTTCGTTGCCAGTCACAATACAGTCGAGAATGGTTCACTTTCCAGTTCGAAGCGCTCGAGAAATTCCTGTGAAGTTGCGATTCTGTTGGCTTTGTGTTTATCCGTGAGCTGTTTTTGTATGCACCTCTCACACAATTTTTGATAACCAAGTGATTCAGTACTGCATTTATCTCGTCTAAAGTCAATCGATGGTCATTATGAATATTCGTTCTGCCAGCTTTATACTCAGGACACCACTGTACGATTCATCACGCCACCCCCATAAATAGTTTTGATTTCGTTAAAAATCTGTAACGGCGCCTTTTCCTTTGCAATAAGAAACCGGATTATGCTCTTCACCTCGCAGTTGGCGAGATTCGGAATAGCAGCACTATTTTTTCAACACGCCATTACAACAACAGTTCTCAACTAATTGAGACAAATGAACGCGCGTTCTGCTCCCAACACTTTTCCTTGAATGCAGTGTTACCAACTTTGTCGAAAACAAAAACCATAGAGCACCGAAGTCTCAGTACTCTTACTTTACAGATATGCGGCATTTGAAAATGACAGATGTCAAAAGCCAAAGAGGACTGTAATATTCATTAATGTACCCAACTTTATCCTACGATACAGTATAGTGTCTTTAGATCAGGTGTTTCTTTCTTTATTTTTTTAAACACTATTCCAAAACATGTTAAAAATACAAAATTTCATTGTTGTGAAACTTGGTAACATAACAATCGACAGTGAGGTTAGGTGAACATGTTAGGTGGGAGGAGTAAAGTTGGCAATATGGGCGAGAACTTTTCGGTGCCTTAACTTCATTGGTTGTTGCAGTCAAGGCAAGTGACTATAGGCCTGGATATTGTATTTTTTTAAAATACTTTACGAGCACCTACAAATTCGGATAAAGAACTGGCGTAGTTTTTCCAGTACTACAAGTATCAAACAAACAAATAACTACATACATTTTTATTAAACTTAAAAGTTGTGAAATTTTTAGGCACCTGTAAGATATTCCAAGCAGTTTGATTCGCTGGGCATTAAATCCCCCACTGGGGTTCTTCTATGTGGGCCACCAGGTTGTGGAAAAACCCTTCTGGCTAAAGCCATTGCTAATGAAGCGGGGATTAATTTTATATCTGTTAAAGGACCTGAACTTCTCAATATGGTAAGCAAACTATCTGAATAAAACTACTTTTTTTTTTATAAAGCGGGGATATTGTAAATACTAACGTTCTTTTCTAATTTCAGTATTTTGGCGAAAGTGAAAGGGCAATTCGAGTTTGTTTCGAAAGAGCAAGGAATTCAGCGCCTTGCGTGATATTCTTTGACGAACTAGATGCGCTATGCCCTAAGAGGTCTAATTCGAGAGAGGTAATTGTTAGAAAAGAGCTATTTATAATTACTACTCATATTTTTCATTAGGGTGGTGCTAGCACACGCGTGGTCAATCAAATGTTAACTGAAATGGACGGAATAGAAAGTAGGAGAGGAGTGTTTCTTTTAGCGGCGAGTAATAGGCCGGACATAATCGATTCAGCTGTTTTGAGACCAGGCAGACTGGATAAAATATTATATGTGGGATTACCCACGCCCGGTGATCGTGTCGACATATTACGAGCAATAACAAAAGTAAGTAGAGTGAATGGTTTAGATTCTAAGTAATATTCCATAAAATAAAAAAATACATTTAAAGGTATATTTTCTGCATGGCCATCTTATAATTCTCTGAACTTTTGGAAAATTTTTATGTTTTAATTAAAGATTAAAGGAAATTTTAGAGAAGTTTAGTTTAGGTTTGCCTTGCCCATTTTTTTACAAGGGGTATTACAAAATACTATTAAGTGTTCAGAAAAACAACAAAAAGTGCGAAATTTCAGTGTCCCACTCCTACTTTTATTTTTGATGTGAATAACATCATTTATGGCAACGAGTGTCATCAGAGAAATTGAGATATTACGAAAATGTGCATCGATATTTCTGCAGATAACCTTCCGATCGAACTGAACCAGGTACTGACTGAAAATCAAAAAACGGCTCTTCAAAAATAGGCATGGGCATAACTAGGATATTGTTTGGGGTGGGCACATGGCTGCAAGCTCTATGGAAGCCCCTAAAAAAAAATATAAAATAAAAGCTCACGCAATCAGCGATTTACTCATATTTACCGATATAAAATTTCATAACCTAAACACTTTCGTTTGTTTCTAAAAAAAAGGTCTCGCAATCAGCGACTTACCGATATAAAATTTCAAAACCTAAACACTCTTCCGTTTGATTAAAAAAAAAATGTCACGCAGTTAACGACTTATCGATATGAGAAAGATGATATTACTGGATCTTTTTTTCTGGGGTAGGCAGCGGGCTTTCTGGGGTGGGCCCTGCACACCCCTTGCCCCCCCCCCCCCCCCATTGGCTACGCCCATGAAAATAGGTATTTCAAGTGAGGCCATCTATTGGCAGTTACATGGGCCGGATAGGTAGATCCTTAACAGATGTATTTTCAAAATTTCGTGACATTTGGACGAATAAAAATGAAGTTATTGTGTTTGAAGTGACATTATGTTTGCGTCATTGGTACAAAAATTAGCATCGAACAAAGAGCATTGTTTTAAACTTGGTAAAACTTTTACCGAAACATTTCAATTTTCACATCAGACAAAATATTCATTGAAATTCATGGAATTGGAATTGAGCATCTCAAAAACATCAATTCATTCCATTTTAGCTGAACTTTTGGGTATCGAAAAGTGTGTGCTATTTACTGATGACCAAAAATTGCTCAGAATTCAACATTCCAAAGACATCATCAAGGAGTCCAAAAAGGACAAAAACTTCCTTTACAACATTGTGACTGGTGATGAAACGTGGTGTTTTCAGTATGATTCAGAAACCAAGCGCCAAAGTGCCGAGTGGCAGGCGCCAGATGAATCAACCCAAAAAATTTGTCAATAAATAGAAATAAAGTGCGGTAAAGTGTCAAACTCAATATTTGATTTATTTTGTGCACTTATTTGCTTCAAAAAATTCTAACTTTAAGTTACTTAACCCTTTCAATGCTCCAGACATATATATTCGCTAAAAATTTATAGGGCTCAAACTGCTCCAGACGAATTAATTCGCTTGAATAGTTAAATTGGATCAGGCTGCTCAAATCGTATATATTCGCAACCATGCGCATTAGTGACTCGGTTGTTGCAACTGGTATAAGGAATTTTTGCGGGCGGAGCTTATAGCGATTGTGGCAATTATTTTTATGGAAGGAGGTACTAGTAATAATGCCAAGATTGTTCATCTCTTTTTCAGTTTCTGCTTTATAATAAAATATTAATAATTAAACTATTACAATTATTTTGAAACGTTTAAACATTTTAATTTAATTTAACACAACATAATGTAAAAAAATAAGTAGTCTAACTGTTCCAGACGAATATATTCGCACACGGTAAACTTTCGCGCACGGCGCGGTAGCTAAGTTCAGATATATTGCACAGCGAAAGGGTTAAAAAAAATGGCGTCACAGACAATTTTTTTATTATATACAAAAGAATTCTCAGTTATCTCTTAATTCTCTGTCTTTGCACATGAGAAAAACTATTTCTTCGAGATTATTCCGATTGATAAATCTAGAAATCTGTACTGAGTTTAATTGAATCTAATGTACTTGTATTTTGGCAGTGCACTCTTATCGCAATGTAATTTTCTTACTAAGCTTTTTCAGACATATTGATATGAATATTTTTACTTAAAATAACATTTATTACCTCCTCTTTCAGTTTAATAACATTTTTTAGACGATCTTTATACAGGGTCCTGTACGTGCATGTATAATGGAAAACCACATATTGGATTCAAAAAGAGCTGACACGTTAATCCATTTTAATTATTTTTGGGGTGTGGGCTGTTGCTTTGACACATTTCGTGGCATACAGAGTGGTTTTTAAAAATGATAACTAGATAATCGATGTACAGTGTAAATATCCATCCGTAACTGTGTAACGAATGAAGAAAAAAATTTTAATTTTCCATACATTTTCATTTTGAATATTTTTGTTTAATATATTTGTATTTTTAATAATGTTTGAGTATGTTTCATTTAATTACAGAATGGCACAACTCCTATCATGGCACCGGATGTCAATCTTGAAGAAATTGCCAAATTCGAACAATGTCAAGGTTATACTGGTGCAGATTTGGCCGCTTTAGTTCGTGAAGCAAGTATTACTGCATTAAAGGACTTTATGATACATAATATAATAAATACGGATGTCCCAGTTGTAGTTACAATGGAACATTTTAAGGAGGCTATCAAAAAAATAAGACCCTCTGTGTCAGAAAAGGTAAACATTTGGTAATTATTTACTATAGTGTAACCCACCCAAATTGTCAAAACATTTTTCATATCCCCAATATTTTCGATGGTGCTGAACACAAATCTGTAGTTATTTGTACGGTCAAACTTAGTTTTATTATGTTTAATGCCAGTCAGAATCGACAAAAATTTCATAAAAGTCGAATACTTTATTCATCATCACCCCCAGGGCCTTATGTATACATTTCTGCAGCTTTTTCTTATGGTCTCAAAGAAATAAGGTTTTCGTGATTAGTATTATTTGATGTAACTACCCTTATGTGTCATTCCTTTTGAGGATACTCCGGTTTTTAAAGGTAAAATCCAAGGTAATGTGTTCAAAAAATCATTGCGTAAAACTTTTAATAAATTTTTTAAATAAAAAATTTCTGTACCAATGATTTTTTGAACTTTTGACATATTCCATATTTAAAACTATATATTCCTAACAAAAAATTGCTTAGTTATTTTCGATTTATTATCTGTTTATAAGCTCAGTTTAAAATATTTAAAAAAATCGAACAGAATATAAGGTCTTTCTTAGAAATTTCATTGGTAATAAAAAGTACTAATCAAATTTGTAGAATATTGAAGTTGAAATTCTGAGGTTCCATTCTACAAGCAAAATTTAAACATACTAAGATAGTTAAAATATTTATAATAATGAGAATGAATTCATAATGCAAATTTTGAACTTATGAGCCACAAACGAAAGTAAATAAACCTATATGTGTTTGTTGAAATTTTTAACTTAAATATCCATAATTTATAATAATTTATACAACTGGCAACCTTTGTTCATGTCAAGTTCTAATATGTCGAGGAAGGAACTTTAAAATGATTTTGCAGTATTGTCACTTTACAAATTAAACAACCATTAAATTCTACCTGTTCTAAATTAAAAATAGACAACAAAATTGGAAATATATCTGATCATGTCATCACCTATAATGTTTTAAAAATGTTGATATTGTGGATGACTTTGTAGTGGCTATTTTTTATAAATATTAACATTTTAATAATGTGTAAATTTTCTGCTAAACATAAAAAAAATTATAATAATTTGTATATAATGTATAGAAAATTTCTATTATATGCTCATTTGGCCAACAACATATTTTAATTATTTTTGTCCTCAAACAATTTTATTATATTGGTGGTAAAATGTCTTGTGATATTAGTAAACAAAATATCTCTCTTATTTCTCCCTTTCACAATTATTGTAACATGAATGATTGATAGGAGGTGCCTATAATAAATTAAAATTACCTGAATCACACCAAATTCCGCATTGCTGCACTGCACTGCTGGGCAGTTTATCAACCACTTGTCATCTGCTGTGATTTATTGCCCAGTAGCCCAATGCAACTTTGATCGTTTTCCTTTGCCCGCGCTCGCATTCTTAAACTGAGCGTTTACATTTCTATCGCCTCCACGTTTAGTTCGACCAGACCTGTATATGGGTATGGCTAAATAAATATGGGAACAAGTTTTTCAAATATTTCAATGCCGAGTTGCTGCGTCAGCAACTGAACCTGGTACTTACTATCAATCTGTTGGTTCTTCAATTGATATCGGAAACACTATAACTTGTATTTTGGCCATTTTGAGATATTAACAGTTTTTAATTTTCAATTATTACTAGAAATTATATTCAGTCAAATAATTTTCAAATTTGATTTGAATCAGGAAGATAAAAGGTTTTTTTTTTAATTATAATGTTATAAAAATATTAATTATTAGATAATTAAATAGTAAAATAGAAATTTTTTAGTTGCTACTTAAAAATTATTTGTCAATAAAATAAACTAATTTTTTATTTCACTGGGAAAAAAACATAGTAAATATAATATTGCAATAAATATACTTAGGAATACATTTAAAATATCTAAGTATCATAAAATTATTAATTTAAGGTAAATTAACTTATATGTTTGTAATATTTGAATTAACTGAAAAATTTAACATTTGAAAAAAAAATAGTTTCTCTGTTTGAAATATCAATATCAGTATCTGTTTCATAAATTGTTAAATCTTGCCAAAATTTAAGTCTATAATTTAGAATACCATTGCTACTCGATATTTAATTTTAATTAACCCTTTCACTGCTCCAGACGTATATATTCGCTAAAAATTTATAGGGCTCAAACTGCTCCAGACGGATTAATTCGCATGAATAGTTATTGGATCAGGCTGCTCAAACCGTATATATTCGCAACCATGCGCATCAGTGACTCGGTCATTGCAATTGGTAAGGCGAATTTTTGCGGGCGAGCTTATACCGATTGTGACAAATATTTTTATGGAAAGAGGTACTGGTAATCGGTTTCTATTTAGCACATATACTGTATTTTATTCAAAATAAAATCGTAAAATTTATCGTAAATCGTAATTTAACACAACATAATGTAAAACTATAAGTGGTCTAACTGCTCCAGACGTATATATTCGCACGCGATAAACAATCGCGCACGGCGCGGTAGCTACGTTCAGACGTATTGCGCAGCGAAAGGGTTAATGTGTACCAAAATTCAAATTTCTAAGTTTAACCGTTTTCGTGAAAAATAAAAGCTAATTTTTTCGGGCATTTTGAGATTTGAATATTTTCTCAGGGAGGGCTCAATTNTTTTTAATTTTCAATTATTACTAGAAATTATATTCAGTCAAATAATTTTCAAATTTGATTTGAATCAGGAAGATAAAAGGTTTTTTTTTTAATTATAATGTTATAAAAATATTAATTATTAGATAATTAAATAGTAAAATAGAAATTTTTTAGTTGCTACTTAAAAATTATTTGTCAATAAAATAAACTAATTTTTTATTTCACTGGGAAAAAAACATAGTAAATATAATATTGCAATAAATATACTTAGGAATACATTTAAAATATCTAAGTATCATAAAATTATTAATTTAAGGTAAATTAACTTATATGTTTGTAATATTTGAATTAACTGAAAAATTTAACATTTGAAAAAAAAATAGTTTCTCTGTTTGAAATATCAATATCAGTATCTGTTTCATAAATTGTTAAATCTTGCCAAAATTTAAGTCTATAATTTAGAATACCATTGCTACTCGATATTTAATTTTAATTAACCCTTTCACTGCTCCAGACGTATATATTCGCTAAAAATTTATAGGGCTCAAACTGCTCCAGACGGATTAATTCGCATGAATAGTTAAATTGGATCAGGCTGCTCAAACCGTATATATTCGCAACCATGCGCATCAGTGACTCGGTCATTGCAATTGGTAAGGCGAATTTTTGCGGGCGAGCTTATACCGATTGTGACAAATATTTTTATGGAAAGAGGTACTGGTAATAATATCAAGATTGTTCATGTTTCTTTCAGTTTCTATTTAGCACATATACTGTATTTTATTCAAAATAAAATCGTAAAATTTATTGTAAATCGTAATTTAACACAACATAATGTAAAACTATAAGTGGTCTAACTGCTCCAGACGTATATATTCGCACGCGATAAACTTTCGCGCATGGCGCGGTAGCTACGTTCAGACATATTGCGCAGCGAAAGGGTTAAAGCCTGTTTTTTTCGTCTGGAATACCATTCGGTTTTTTTTCACTTTTGGTTCCGGTATCTTTTGTTTAGTGATTTTTTTACTTCACCATCAGTATCTAAATAACAATTTCTGTTGGTTAAAACTGGACCCGTCAGTTCCGTTTGTACTATAGATTCATTATCAATAGAATCCAGCTGCCTATGTGTTGAACCATTCGGATCTGTCAGAGTATGTGCATTACTAATTGAATTATTTACATTTTGGTTCACATCAAGCACATTGTCTTCGTGTTCTAAACTTTTTTGTGTTTCATCTACATCCATTATCACGCCAGGAACATTATATACATTTTGGTTTACATCGAGCACATTATCTTCATGTTTTAAACTTTTTTGTGTTTCATCTACATCCATTATGCCAGAAACAGTTTCACGATCATTGCGTACTGTAGAATTTTCTTCAACCTCCATTTCTTGTATTGCATTTTCTGGTGGAAAACTATCCATCATCACCTGGAATAAAAAAAAAACACTATTCATGCAATGCGAAATTAATACAATTAAAAGTTTTTATTATTTGAACTATTATTTTTAACCCAAAAATCACGACCGCCATAATAAAATTAAAAAAATTAAGAAAAATATTAATTATTAATTAACAAATAATATGTCATTTTACGTACCTCGATTTTTTTTCTTTATAAAAGTATTTATTATAAAAATATTTATCATAAGATTTAAAAAGAATTAAGTACGCCACTGGATTATACAAAAAAAATGAAATGTTACATTTCAGAAAAAAGTCTAATCATGGCAATTATAGGGGTCACTTAAAATATCAAAATTTTGATTTTTATAATAATTAATTAATATTAATAAATTGATCTCTAAAACTAAAAAAATATTGGAAATCTGCTTTGATATGATTTTTTTGCGGCTTCGCAAAAACCAGCCGAGATACCCTAGCAAGGCAATTACACGCACTCTACAATATAATCATAATCATTAATTTTATTGCAGGACCAGAGACACTACAAGAAATTGAGAAAAATTTATGCTTCTGTTCCCGATAATACTGAAGTAGAAGAAATGGAATATTAGTATTATTCAGTATATGAATAAATATTTTAGTACTACCCTTGAACATATACAAACTAAAAAAAGTCAAGTTATTATGATTCAAAAATGTTTTATTACTTTATTTTCTTCAATTTTAGTGAAATTTTAAATTAAATTGATAGGTATTGAGGTAAGAAATGATTTTAAATAATATAGATTATGCAAGATTTTTGAATTTTGAAGTTTTATTTATCGCTCCCATTAAATATATATATATATATATACAGGGTGTTTGTAAATAAGTGCGAAATATTTTAGAGGGTCGTTGCCAGTTATTTTATGAAACACGAGAATGCCACAGCCTTTTTATTAAAAAAAATGGTATGCCACTGACTTTTCCCATTTTGATATTTTTTTAGAAATCCGCCATCAATTCTGAAAGAAATTGGTTTCTTCAATTTTTTTCGTATTCTGCGCCTTATTTGAGGAAAAAATAAAACGTATTTTATTGTAGGTTTTGTTAATCTTTTATTAAAGGTCTCTTTTAATAAAGCGTTATTCTGGTCAAACAAAAAATTCAACATTGAAAATAAAAAGTTCATATGAATGTGGGTAAAAAATTCTTCAATTTCGAGATACGGGTGTCCACTCTTTGAATTAAAAAAAAATTAAACAATCTTTAAATAAAGCATATTTCGATCTACATTTATATGAATTTTTTTCACAAAATAAGTTCGGCAACCACCCCTAAAATATTTCGCTAGCATTTATTTACAAACACCCTGTATATAACCAGCGTTTGTTCCTATAAAAATATAAAGCAAAACAATATTCTGATATGTGCTAAATCAATTTTTCTCTAGCTTTAAAAAAAAAAAAACAGTTGTACCAACTCAACTTGACAAAAACGGCTTGGCAGCCTTATTGTCAAGTGAAAGTGACGGAGAGTTTAAATTCTAATTTAGGTTTGTATAACCAATTTTTAAAGTGAAAATTTATGTATAGCGTGGGAACCCCACCGTTTATATTTCTGTTCACGCAGACATGAAAAGTAAATACAATAGAAAATAGATTTTTATTTTTCGAGGAGAAAGCGTACGAATTTTATTATGCACAGCAAACCGACAAGATCACTTAATTTCATTCAAAATTTTTATAACAAGTCGGCACTACTAGGGATATGTGATAGGTCTAGAAATATAAAATAAAAGAAATAAAATATAAAAGTTATTGTCAATAATGAAAGTTATTTCACAAGGTACTTTTTTATTATTGTGATGTTGTCTATATTTAAAAAAAAGCTAGATCTACTTATCACAGAAAAAAGATTTTTAATAATAAATGTTTTATTGACATTAAATATCTTGTCATATGACACATATATACAAAATATTTACATATTTTAAATATGTGAGTATTTATCATTTTGTAAGTTATGAATCTTGTTTAATAAATATCTGTCTCCCCATAAAATGTGATCCATAATTGTCACAACTCACATTAACAGGTTTTCTTGAAGCCGTGCTGCTTTGTTTAGAATTGTTTTTAATATATCTGAAGATTCCTTCTCCGGGTAGTTTGGGTAATAGTTTCGGATGTGAATACCACAAGCGATAAGTGACGAACCAAGTAAGTATGGCAGAAACTCCTCCTAAGAACTTTTCAATCATTACATGGTAATATAGCATTGTACATATTAACATAATATCCCATATAATTTGGAATATGCATATCACAATAACTAAACCTCTGATGTACGGTGTGTATTTTTTATAATAAAACTTTATTTTCTTTAGTTCATTATCGGTAAGAAACCGGAGCGGATTGGAATTAAATTCAGTTTCTTTTGACATCCTGTAGTGTTCTTCTAAACGTAGGAATTCTCGAATTCCATCCCAATTTTGAATACTTCTCGTTTCTTCTATGATAAGCAAGCTGCCATAAATTAATATAAAAGAATGACCAGACAGATCAAAACCGTTCCATAAATGTCCTGCTTGTAAACATTTACCTTTTGTAAAATAGTTTAAGTTTCCACATTTTCCATAGGATGCTTCAACGTAATTAAAAAGTGTTGTCCAAAACCACCAAAAAAAAGTTGCTATTCCGATTCTTAGTAAATGGTGTTTTACGATCATTTGGACTTGTCCACAGCAATAAATTAAAGATGTAAAAAACACAAATGGTATCAACAATATTAGATTCCATCCCCAAGCAAATTTTACAAGGTACTTATTGAAAATATTATCAGATCTTGATAGATACATTTTAGGTATTGGTATCACATCAGCTATTAAGGATACTAGAAAAAGGCTTCCTAAATAAATTGCAATTTTTATATTTGTGTTAAAAAACAGAGACTTTTTGCAGACATATAAAACCATTAAGGTAAATATTTCTCCAATAGATGTGGGTTCACTGGTAGGTTTCGTGCCCTTTTGATCTATATTTATGTCATTGTTAGTAGGGCGAAAATTCAAATTTGCTGTGTGACTAGTTCGTCGTTTATTATGCATTTTCAACACAAACAAACACACAATTAAGAAATTAACCAACTCTTTAAAATTTCATAAAACCTTACAATCATGTTCAAGGTTACTACTGTAGTATACGAATTAGGTTATTGCATAGGCATAGACACAGAACATCTAGGAAAGCACAGACACAAAACATAGAGGCTGCGTTCAGCTAATGGTCGGAACTTAGAGCATATACTACTGGAGGCAGCGTCCCAGTGGCCAAGAGATAGCATATATTTGTAATTACACTAATGAACGAAGAAGAAATTGTCACATATTTCATTTTCTATTAAATGTTTTGTCTCTATTACTATAAATAGTTAAGTAATTTGTGGTCTCTATCATAGATAGGATATACATATGCAGGGTGTCCCAGAATAACGTGTACAACGGAAGAAATTATTACATTACATAAACAAATTATGCCTCCTGTTGCTTCATTTTTTCGATATGGATATATACACATATGACGATTTAGAGTTATTTACAACGTGCTTAATTTTATTGAAATAATCAATTTTTTATTCACTGTAATTGCTACATATTAGATCTTTAGATCTGTACAGTTTGAGGAAAAGAAACAAGGAAAATAATTTTATAACAAACTTTTTTACAGTTTATCATAATAAAGAAAATGGTATTGTATTTATATGTTTTGTTACTTTTTTGTTGCATTTGTGATAAAAGTAGGTTTAAATATCGATGGATAAAACTAATACCGATACTAATAAAAATTCGTTTTAAAAAGTAGGTACCTAAGTACTAGATACTGATCGCGCGCGCGATCTGCAATTTCATAGCTGTGCAAGAAGAATTAAGAAATAATGCGGAAATCGTAGTTCACAGTAGATAGAAATAGAGAAACTAAATCTTGGCAAGAATTTCAGGTGCATAATATGCAAGTTTAATTCCAGATCAATTAACAGATAGCAATAAAACGAAACAGACAAAATCTAAATTATGATGTTTGACATCTAAAGACACTGTTTCTCAAAAATAATACCTACATGGAATACATGCTTCTTCCTATTGTTAGGCATTTGAAAAAAATATTGAAAAAGTCAAATAACAAATTCAAAATGTATAACTTTGTAAGTTTCTAATTTTTCCCTTCTTATATCACAGACCTACGATGCCATCATCAACAAATTGAAGTTTTTAAAACTAATATTTTACCAGTACGCAAAAATTTGATCTATTTGCAACGTAAACAGTAGACACTAACTGATTTCAATATGTTATTTTCATTTACGGCTAATTTAAAAGCAATTTTTTTCAGTACTTTTGAAACTCTGTCAAATTTTAAAAAAAATTTAACTCTTGCAATGCCTGTAGCAGGTGTAAGAGAATAGCATAACGTGGAACACATAAAACATGAAATACGAATTTTTGGCATTCTTAAATAGAGAATTTTTAGATTCAAAGTGTAAAGAAACCTATCATCTAAACCACTTTAGCTATAGCTAAATTTAAGTGCCACCGCCAATATAAAAAATATGCCGTAAATTGAACAAAAAAGATAGCCAATTTGGCGCCAAAATGGGCAACCGTGGTTGGAAGTGTGAAATGGCCAGCTCTCCCCACTCCTAATGACCTCAACCAAGCAGCATACTAGACAAAAAGCGCGGGCCTAGTCCCATCAACCCTGGATGCTAGGAATATAAATTCCGTTTATATTTGATTTAGCCTCGTATTACATTTTTTTACCTATATCTGCAGAAATCTCATTTTTCAAAGTTATACACTTATATCCTGAACTTATATACTTTTTATTTCTAAACATTGGTTTCATATTTTTCTCTCATTCGACTCCCTTCTATCTTATATTGTTTGCGTCCGTGTTTATTTTTAATTTAGGTGAGACATGTCTTGTTAGTTTTATTACTATACTGTTTCCATTTAATAATACGTACGTATTGATGTTGATTTTCGTCTTTATTTATTGAGGATTTATTACTTCTTGTGTTTGTTCCGAGTATTTGTGCTTTATTGGAATTTAGTGATTATTATATTTGAGATGTATTAGAAATAAAAAAAAAACAATATATATATGCTTATGTATACAAATTTCAGTAGTTGTGATTCGCCAACAACGTCAGTATCAGAAATAGAACATCCAAGAATAAATCACTTTTTTCAGTTACCAGCCAACCCAACACTGACTAAGATTTCAGAACCGTTTCAGAAGTGCGTATTCTGTGTGCAAAATTAAAAAAAATGTGTAATATTTGATATCAGTTGATTAATAGCTATGGAATGTTTAATACCAACTTGTATTACATTTTGTGATTCTAACAATGGATCAACAAAGGAGAACTAAGAAAGGTAAGATACTTGTGAGGCTACTGTTTTTCTAAATTTAGCATAGGTAAGTAAACACCTGCCAATGATATCATTTTCGTGCAAAATTAAGTTTTTTTTAAAATATTTCTTGACTTTTGCATTAAATGTATGTACAATTTATTTGTATGTGTTTATACTATGATGCAAAAGATAAAGGAAACATTTTTCTTACGAAAAGTAAAATTCGTACCTATAAAAATCTAGTGTTGGTTTAGAACTACTACTACTGCTACTTAATTAATTAGTAAATTTCTTTTAGTCATTAGAGTTTGTGCCAATATTAAGAGCAGCAAAATCTAAACAATACATCAATATTAATTAAAGCTATTATAATCAATCCAACTGTGACAGCTTCCATAAATATTTTTCATTGACTTTACATAATAGCAGGTAACCGAATATTCTTGTGATTTTATATAACATATATTCATACTTCCTCTTAATCATCTTAAAAAATATATTTCTGATTTTTATTTGTGTTAGATCGGAAAGGAAGTATTTTGGATATTTTTTTGGAAGATTTATTTCGGTGGTTATAATTCAATATTTTTGAGTTCTGTATTTTTATTGTTACCTACATTAAAATTGAATTTTATTCATTTTGAAAACATACGCTCTGTACCTATCGATGAAAATATTCTCCTAACTTACTAAAAAAACAGCAATTTCTACAAGTAAAGTATTTAAACCTGCGTACATACTGTGTTAGTAAATATTTCTGACTTTTATATAACTATAGAGCATTAAAAAATCAGATGCTAAATTCAAACTAAAAACTTCTTTTTTTAATATACCTACGTTTCTATACTTTCTCTACTCTCTCTCTCAGATTATTAGGTGTTGTTTATATTTTCATTTTAATTAATTTCTTATTGTAATAATGGCTGTTTTAGATAATAACGTGCATAAATAACAAAATGAAGCTTATTATTAGCTAAAAAAAAATACTATGCTATATCACTGTTTAGCTGACATACTAACTGGGGTGTATCTATGATTTTTTTCCATATAAACAGTCTATACTAATCACCCCATTTATTGATAGTTTGGTACTTTAAATTTTTTATTATGTTGCTCCAGGGACATGCAATAATGTGATTTTTATTTTTTTTTCTCCAAAAAGGAAGCAAGTTACGAAAAAAAATCAAGAGACAAAGAAGTTGTATTTTTAGTTGCTTAATGCGGAAATAGTTAAAGTGACCCCCCCCCCCCCGGGACGCCATTGGAATATTTTAATCTAGTTAGGTCTAAATTAGCCCCTTTCCGCCATAAATAACCCTGCCATTTTTCAACAAAATCGGCTAAAGGATTATTATGACTTTACGAAAAAACGATTTTTTAAAATAGTTTGACACTCTGTATCTTGAAAACAAAGCGGACCACATAAACTTTTCGTCTTAGAAATTCTCAAAGAATCACTCCTTGAAGTTCGACCAGGTACTTACTTAAATAACGCCCTGTATATCATATATTTATTTTGACAGTTCGCACAATATTTTGGTTTATTTATATCCCTGCACAAGGAACACAGGACCTAGACCAGGAAATCGAGCCCGAAAATGACCATTTCATGCATAATTCTTCGGTCAGACTGATTTTTTGTGAGCAGATAGTATAAATAGTGTAGAATAATATGACCGTATCCGCACGCTGAAAAAGGCGGGCGACATTGTTTAAAAGTTGACCAAACATTAGAAATTCGCGTTTTTCGACTATAACTTTTTTTCTGACGGTTCTACAGAGAAACGGTAAAATACTTTTTTGTCCGTATATTTCATTTTGTAACTAAGGTTAAAAAATAAAAAAAATTCCGTTGCAAATTTGAAATAAAAAAAAATTATAGATTTCAATGTATTATTATGAAATCTACTATGAAAGAAATCAGTGCAATTATGGAAGATGCTCGGGATCGTCCAGACTAATAATAATTAGTTAATTTGTTTATAAGGCCATAACTTGTAAACTATTCAACTTACCTATTCCAGATTTCGTGTGAGTTATTAGACAGTGATAAGGAATGAGAGGATGCGATGCCAAAACGTTCTGGTACCTAATAATAACACGGTTTATAAATGTTTAATTCAAAAGTCATAAATAAACTTCTGTTTATAATTTTTGATCTAATCAATATTTTTTATGCTCGAGGGCTAGGTCTTTTGAAGACGAAAAAAAAAAATAGTGTTTTCTCGTGGAAACAAAGTGAATTTACGTAAAAATTATACAATTAACCACCCTGCAAACAATCTTCCCCCCATTCTTATGACTGTGGAAACTAATATGTTATTGTACATAATATTTAGCATCTATAGTGATAAATTCAGCTTGTCGAAAAAAAAAGTCGCGAAATGGTCATTTTCCAGCTCTTTTTCCTGGCCTAATAAATCATGTGCCGCATTTACCTGAAGATGGATTTTATATTTTCAGTTTTCTTACAGATAGGAAATATCCACGGGTGCCAATTAAAACATATAAGTGGGAGGACATTAGAAGATCGCGAAGGAGGGGTGGTTACCCTTGGACTCATTTGTATAAAAAGCCTTTTGATGAACAGCTAGATCCTGAACCATTCACGATGAGTGGTTTACGAAAAAGTAAAAGCAGCTCGACAGTAGAAAAAGCGGATGGTGTACAAATTTCTGATGTCACAGAAAATGGAGGTGGAGAAGGAAAAATGGACTCGTTACAAATCGTTACAGAACCAGATGACATTTCTGCAAGAAATAGTATAGGATCTATTGTTATAGAAGAGTGTGATATGAGCGTGGCGGAAAATCAAAAACCCGAAAATATTGCCTTAGAATCAGCCGACAGTTCTGATAACATAAGTCAGTATTTGGATAAAGATGAGAGGGGTCCAGAAAAGGAAGCAGGGTTAAAAAATCTTAGTGAACCTGATAAAAATACTGAAAATGAAACGGAGAAAGAAGAGAATCAGAATCTTACGACTGAAGAACAATCAAAAAGGAAACGAAAAATGTCTGCTGAAAGTAGCTACAGTAAAATGAGTTTAACAAAACAGGCAGTGCTGGATAAAATAAAAGCTGCAAAAAATAAGATAAAAGTGCCAAAATTGAGCTTTCCAGTTAATAAACGTAAAAAACCTACTCCTAAAGTCACTAAAACTGTGTCATCCGAACCAAAAAAAGACACAAAGAAACAAACTGTAAAGCCTAAAGATATAAAACCAGTTTACATCCATATTCCTTTAAAACCCCCTCCAGGACAAACAGATGAATTTTCGTATTTAGAATTTGAAGATAAACCACATACTGCTTCGCCGCAAATAAAAGGAGTAGGTAGTTTTAAATTTTTAGCAAAGAACATCAAACGTCTACAAGAAACTCTTCCTACTAACGATGAAGAACCTTCCGCTAAAACTATTAAAACAGAGACAGAAAATATTGAGGTATCAACAAACCAAGACGCAGCAGACGAAAAAGAAAATAAATTAGAGAATAATAATAAAAGTACAGATAATAATGAAGAGGACAAGCTGCAAGAAGATAAAGATGTTTGTACCAAAATAGAAGATAAATTAACAATATCAGTTACAGACTCAGAAGTTCTGGATAATGACCCAAAGATCAGTTTAAGCACTGAGGAAACTTTAAATAAAAAAGGTATACTTAAAACGTCAACTGAGATAATAGAAGGTTCAAGTGTACAACCGCCACAACCACAAAAAGGTATATTAAAAGAGAAACAAAAACGTGCAAAGTCGGAAGAACCTGAGAGAAAAAGAAAACTGTCTCTAGAAAGTAGTTATAGCAGAAAAAGTTTATCGAAGCTGGAAATTATGAAAAAACTAAGAGAAACATCTGAAAAAATTAAGAAAACGTTCTCAATAAACAGAAAGAAAAAACATTCTGATTTGGACACGGTTACACCAGAGAAAGAAAACCGATCAGAAAAATTACCAAAACAAAACAAAAAGAAAGAAAAAAGTGAGCAACCAGGCAAACCGGTATACATTCATATACCTTTAAAACCAGCAGAAGAAGAAAAGGAAGAAGAAGAGAATATAACGCAAGATGAAAATAATCCATCTTCAAACTCTATAGAGACTCCTGTTAGGAATGATGTCCAATTTATAATGTTAACAGCTCCTTCTGATGATGAGGTTTTAGATAGTTCTGACACGCCAGAGACGCCATCTTCTGACAACAAAGTATTTTTTGAAAATAAAATTGAAGAACTTAAAAAATTAGCGAAAGACGTTGTTGATGATGTAACTGACTCCAAAATATCACATAAGTTAGACCCAGTTGCAGAAGAAACTCTGAATGGAAATAACAACGCGGATGAAATAACGTCTTTACCAATAGAACAAAAACCTGACCTGGTAATTGAGCAAACATCGATTGATAACAAAACAATTGAAGACATACAAATTGAAAGTCAGGTGGACGAAATTGCCCCCAAAAAATGTAACCAAACCAGTGAGAGACCGAGCATTATGATCGATGTTGAGGATGGTTTAAGTGAATCCTATATAAAAGAAGATAAACAAGAACTCCCAGTACAACAGTCAACAAGTCCGAAAGGAGATAAACCTAAAGACTCCACTTTAAATCTAGAAAACACACCTGTCATAAAAAAGAAAGTTTCGTTCAAAAGGCGATCTAAAACACCTAAAGATGGTAGTTATGAAGACATAGGACCACAGAATCTTTCTAAGGTTTCTGATGAATTGGAAAAACAGCAAGAAGCCGAAGATGTTTCTGCTACTGATATCACTCAATCTGTCAGTGAAGAAAAACAACTAATTTTGGATAAAAGCATAACGGCTTCATCTAAGGAGGACGAAGACAAATGGTCAAAAATAAGGTACGTATTTTACTTTCGTTAATAACAACAAACTACTTCTTCGTATTTTGGAAAGCCTTATTATGAATCAATTCTAAACTGATTTTTTACTTTAACGAGAAGTTGAACTAAGTTTACCTTTTCGGCATCTATTATTGTCTGCCTCTTCAATATTTTTTTGTCGTTATTCATTCAAATATCAAAATTATTTGCCACACCCTGCAATAAAGTACAAAACACAAACGAATACTCCTACATTTTAGAGAACAGTGTTTGGCTCTATTGTAAAGTAGAGGATTTTGGACTTTTATCTAACTTAACAGGACTAGTTTTCGATTACTTCTGCGCATGGGCATACTAACTATTCTAACATTTAAGGAACATTTCCCTTAAAGTTGCTGACTTCTTTCCTCAGACTTACATACATACAACCTTTTGATATTGATGTAGGCAACATATCTTCTAATGTGTCAGTGAATCTAATAATGATGTTAAATGTTTATAGCATTGATGAGACTGAAGTCCTTAACCCCTTGAAACAATTGAAACCTAAACTGTCTTTAGTTTATCTTGTTTATGATAATATCCATGCTTCGCGATTTGCATGTTCTTGCGCGCCCCTTATCTTTAAATCTTCTACACAAGTGTTTGCATCCATCATGCCTCAGATATGGAAATTGTCTAAAGTTCAATTTATAAAAATGGCGATAAATGAAATGTTTCTAGACCCATTCCGATTATCTCCAATTTTTGCAGTGTTTTATAAAGCCTCATGTAAAATCGACTTTATCACGTCAACAAAACAATAACCATTTGTTGGGTAGAAAGCAATACGATCCGTTCAATGGATTAATGATTATGATGTCTGCTTTGGGGTGCCACAGAGAAGCAGCTTAGGACGCCTACTGTTTAATATATTAACATATGATGTACTGGACGTTACTGATGTTGAATGTTTACTTCACGCAGATCTAAAAATATATAGTGAAACATGATCTGTGAATTACTGCATTTACCTGTTTAATAACCAATTGAAGAATGGTTTTCTGGAAATCGTTTCAATTTAAATCTGTCTAAGTGTAATGTCTTACTATCGAAAGAAACAGGCGGTAATATAATTACGTGGTAAATGATTTTATTCTTCAAACACCGGAGACTACTGATTTGGGATCGAAAAGAAAGGGGAAAAATAATGTGGATCGTATGATGTGGTAGTGAGGTGATTATCATTCATCAGTCATCAGCACAAACGTAAATAAACACTGATCGGAATAAGTACAGAAACAGAATGTATTTCTTGAATTTGGCAAAGCATCAACACGCGTCTTAGTGTAGCTCAAAAGCAAAACACATGAAAAATTCAGACTGCCAAAAATAAAAATAGTTCTCTTCAGTCGGAAAAATGTCGGTAAGTGTCGGTTTCAGTGGAGTAACATTAGGTTGGAGCGTCCTAATGCAGCTTAGTGACTTACAGCTGTTCGGGTACGTCGCTCGGGCGTGGAAACTTACAAAATGTAATAAAAAGTGTTAAAAATAGTTACATCGTTAGGATCCTTACTAATGGAGTCTCAAAAAATAGGGAAGGGGTTATCCAATAAAAAGAGACGAAAGTATTCGACAGGTTCCGTAACAGATGCAAAAAGGTCACTGTCGGAAGGGTCAAAAATAAAATCTAAAAAACGAGACGTTTCCAGGGAACCGTCTGCTGGATCTTCTGTTACGTCATTGGATGTTCGGTGTGCTTGCCAATATTACCAGTGTAATTCTCCATTGCCAGTCAAGACCAATCTAGTGGGAACACAACCGTCAATTCGTTTAAATGCTATAAATATAGTACGGTATGTTATTCCCGTAAAAGAATGTACATTAGAGCTAGGTATAAAATTAACTTGAGCCGTTTATCGCTGACATTATTAGATTCGGATTGTTTGCACATAGAAGAAAATTAATCGTCAATCCAGTACTAATTCAGTTAAAGTGTTTAATGTTACTATAGCTCTGTAAAATGCAGGTGTTTTTATAATTATTAGATTCAGAACATTATTCTTCTAAAATACATATATTGAATGGAATTGAATGAAATTTACTATAGCGTATTCACTTAATTAGGGCTTTTGTTGAATGCAATATTAACCACCTGGCTTTAACCAGTGGCGTACAACTGAAGGTACTGCCTTATTTTCCCAAGAAAAAAATACGCCATTGGCGGTTTTTTAGAGAAATAATATTATATTCAGGTTAGCGTTTTTTAATAGTAAAAGCCGTTCAGGAGATATTTGGGCTTGTTTTTACGTTTGTTATCATGACATGATTTTCCCTGAGAAGTTTACAATTTTCCTCTATTCTTTGCCACAATTTGTTTCGTCTTCATAAGGCTACGAAGGGCTGCAGCTTCAGGAATGAATAAACAAAGCTAGTTATAATACTAAAACGAGATCATCGTAAAGCTTACTAACTGATGATGCAGACATAAATCAATTTTTGCACATGGATTTTAAACAAATATGAGTATGTGGACCAAATTTACGCATTATGTTCGGCAAATAAGTAAATTATCTCCTAAACGGCCTGAATTTAATACTGTTTCTACAAAAAATCACCAGCGGCGTATTTTTTCTTAGGAAAATGTGGCGGCACCTCCAGTAGCACGCCACTGGTTAAAGCCGCGAGGTTAATATTACATTCAGTAAAAGGAATAATCAAGTGAATACGCTGTAGTAAATTTCATTCAATACCGTTAGCGCATTATGAAGATATGGCAGAAAAAAAATATTTTTTTAAACTTTAACACCCTGTATCTCGAGTACCGAGTCCCGCAGGAAAAAAAGTTTATAGAGCAAACTCTACTTATTTTTTTGTAATGAATATAATCCTGCATTTTCTGTATTTAAAGTGATATCACCCTGTATATTAAATAAAACAATAAAAGTTGGAGATGAATTTATTATTAATAGAATGTCTTGATGCATTTCATGCCAACATAAAAACGCAACATCTGAATTCAAGAAACAAAAGTTCTACCAAACGTTTTCGTTGGTTTTCTTTTCGCTAAAGTTGATAATTATTTTTATTTTGCTAGGTAGAATAGTTTCTATCAACACCATTGACGGAAAAAGAGATATTGTTATATTTTCTCTAGAAATATTTGTTATCAAGGAGAAAAGTGGTTTATTGCTCAAGTTAGTTCCCTTTGACTTTTTGGTTGACGTTAAAAGCTTTCCATCTGGGTGGAAAACTAACGTTTATAAATTTTAAATTTTGCAACTTTAAAAAAATCTCGTCAGAAATCATGTTATCAAATCAAAATTTTTAAACAATATTGGCATTGTACATTTGAAACAACTTTTTTTCAGATATAAAATTACAAATAGTTTGATATTCGTTCTTATTTAATTACTTTTAAATTCAAAATATATTAATCATAGTTTATGATTGAGTTTTACATGTTAAATCAACATCAGTTTACAACGATCTAATATTTACAACGAAATTTAAGTAAATTTCAGAATATTTTGAAAAAGGTACCTATACTTTTGATAATTGTAATAAATTCTTCTCTAGTTTAAATATACTAATTATGATTTATTAAATTTATGTAAGTACATATTTTTTTATTTCCATAAATTCGAAAAAATATTAAAGCATTTTTAAACATCCCAAAATATTTCTACCTAAAGCCGATTAATTCTCGCCACATTTCATTATTTTCACACACAGATATACAGGGTGTTCCAAAATGGAAGGTCAATCCGTTAACCGCAGCCTACTGAGATTTTGGCGTTTTGGCCTGTGACATTATGGTAGAAATGTGCGTCAGTACTTGATAATAATTAATTATTCCTGTCAGCTGGATTGGATGACGTCAAAATGTTCCTGTTAGATTTATAGATTTCTTTTTCTGGTGTAGTATGAAGGATATTGTTTATGATGAAGAAATTAATAATATTGGATGTCCTTCAATAGGGACGACGACTAAAAATATGTTTCTCAAACGATTTGATAACGAAAATGTGCGTACTCTTGTGCGAATTCGATCAAATGCATGATTTGGAAGAATTTTGATATTTTATAATTTTGTAAGGATTCTCATTATTATTAGTTTACCAGGAAACCTTTCCAAAGCTTTCCTAAAGAATTACCAGAAGCTCGTCTAAATATTTTGTATGTCCACTATAAAAATATAATACGTAATTGCAAAGATTTAGAAGTTCACTTGGTATTTACAGTAAAATGACTTACATGACATCTTCCTATTTCGTAAAGTGAATTTTGCGAATTTGACAAGGGACTGAAGCGAGAAAGTAAATTCAATCTGGGAGAGAAAGGTTCTCTCAGAAACAAAATTCGATTAGTTTTGAAATTTTATAAAAAAATGTAAATTATTTCCTAAACCTACAAAAAGTTAGAGACTTAGGTCATTCAGATAATATTCTTGCCCTTCATATTTTTTCGCTTTTATATCTGACAATGAATAGCAGAGACCAATTTCAGTAAATTTCTTTGCGATATCAAAGAAGATGTATGTAAAAAACAATTGAATGTTAGGATTTAGGATTTTATTTTTAAACAGAACACCCTGTATATTTGTTGTTTTTCGGGATGCCGCATACATATTCCTTTGAGATCTCGAGAAAATTTATTAAGTCATCTTTACCATTTATTGCTAGATAAAATGGTAAAAAAGACAAAGGAATAGCATGTTATGTGAATAATGACCCTGTACAATAATATAATTGAATATGTTTTATTTTATCGGGTAATACTGACTTTAAATAGCATTAAATACAATTTTGATTCGTAGGCATGTGTATATCTTTACCCTGTATTGTTATCTTGACTAATAAAGGATGGATATCCTCAGAGTTTGCGGAAAACAAAAAATCACCTGCATCAGTTAATTATCAAAATATAAATATATTTTACAAATACAGGGTGTAAGAAGTTTGACTGCCATTACTTCAGCATGAGATAGAGTAATTATAAATGAGCAAAAAAGTTGTATATTACAAGGGCGTAAGATTAACAGTTTTCAAAATACAGCGAGTATTAATATTGGAGAATTTCATCACAACGTGACAACAGCGCTTAACCTAATGTTACACAGCTGATGCACACCACATGTGCACGCGGCAGACTTGTCCTACGGAATAATAAAAATGTAAACAACTATTATTGTGAAACATTCAGTAAATTTCAAGACAATTGTTTTCCAGTTTTTAAATAAATAAAATAAAATGTATCAATTTTGTAGTACGAAGATAGTGTTGTGCTTAAATTTTAGCTCGAATTTTAGTAATTATGAATCTCTTAAAACAGGAACTTGACTTTTGACAAATAATCATACGTATTAAAAATAATTTAGATAGATGGTATTCTTCGTCTGCTGAAATTAAGGCAGTCAAACTTGTAACACCCTGTATAGGTGCACTCCTTTTAGACTAATTTATTATTTTTTTAGCGATCACGAATATGAACCGGTTAACCCACCACCTGGAGTCCAAACAATCTTTTCTTCCACACCAACCTTGAATGTTCAAGAGATGGATAATCTGCATTCTGATAACAGGTATCCAGAAATTCCAACTATAAGAAGTGATTTACCCATGGATGAAGAAAGAAGACAAACAATCGATCCTGTTGACGAAAAAGAAGCAGGTACGGATATATCAATACATATACAGCAAGTAGATGACAAGCAAAATCAAGACACTCATACGGCTGACAAGAAAGATCCCAATAAATTTCAGTTAGCATGGAAACAAACAACAGACCAGTTCAAAAACAAATTACGTAACATGAAAAAACCCCATTTACCTGATGAAAGCAAACCGAAACCTCGCAAATTTAAATTTGAGAAACCTAAATTTAACTTACCGAAAATTCCCGACAAGTCTAAAATAAATTTGCCATCACTACCTTCTTTTAATTTACCACGCAGAAGCAGCACGAAACGGTCTCAGAAGGAACGACAACAATCGACGGAATCAAATGCAGGCGATTCCAAGAAAATATCTTTCGACTTTAGTACATATCCTAGGATGTTTAAGAAAGGCAAGAAGTCCAAAGCAAAAAACGAACAAAAGCAAGAAGAATTTTTAGACTTAGCTTCCGTTCCCCAACAACCAAGGCAGGAAACTAAGACTAAGAGTTTAAGCGGAAGTGACATTACAAGGATACCACTTAATTTTGAGGAGTCTGCCAGTGATGAAGATATGGAAAAACTAAACGAACCGGAAACACAAAGTCAGGAAAAGAGTGATGATAAAATCGAATATTTAGACGATGATCGCGAGGCATCTCATATCAGATACAGAGATGATATCGATATTGATGATGAATTCGAAAGTCAGGTAATTAATAACGATGAGTATCTTGACAGATGGAACCGCGGCAATTTTAATCCTGACCTCGATGCAGACTATTCAAAACAATTTGAAAATTCACGTTATGAGGTTACAGATCTTGATTTTCCAGAAGAATCGGATCTTCAATCGTTTGATTATAACTCGAATCATCACAAGGAAAGGTATTCTTCTGGAAGTTCGTTTGGAGGGCAAAGAGTTGGCGGTGTTTTGGAAGAAATAAATCCCGATGAATTTTTCCTGAGGCAGAAAGGGATATCTCAAGACAATATCGAGGTGGGAATGTATCTTAGTTCAGAAATTAAAGAGGCCTTTCGGACACCAGAAAATGCTCTAACTAAAATGGAAGATCGAGATTTTAATATTTCCAATCAGTCATTACCAGACACGCAGAATGCACGTAAACCCATTAGAAAACCAAAAAGGAAGAAAACTCCCCACGTTTCACAAGAAAGAATTTCATTCGGAGAATCGGATGACGAAGATGTAGATGTTGCTCCACCATCAAGACCTAAACGACGAAGTAAGCGAATTCAAAAGCCCAAACACTTTGACGACGTTATTCCATATCAAGAAACAATTCCTGTAGAAATAAACGTTCCCGAAGAAGAAAATTCGAACCGATTTTTAAATAATTATGTAAGAACTGAGGAGCCTGTTGTTATTATTGATGAAAATGATAGACTAGACCATCAGGAATTTAATATGGCCAACGCTGATGATTTAAGTTTTGAATACATAGATGAGAATCAAACGGAAAAACCAGCTGCACCACCAAGAAAACAAAAAAGTTTAAAAAGTCTGACATCGGAAAGTGAATCCATTTTGGATGAAATCAGTTCACAAATAATACACACTCCTGAAATTGATGTAAGTATTCTACACTTTTTCTTAACTACTTTTATTAGAGAATATGAATACAAATCTTTTAAATTGTGACGTTAAGGACCGGTACTTTGAGTTTCTATTAAGACTTGATTAACTATTCAGGCGATTAGACTGTTAATACACTATTATAAAATAAATCAGTATATGTACAGTCTATTCATCTGATTACTTAATCAAGGCTTAACCGAGACTCAAAGTACCGGCCCAAAAAATGTAGTGTAAAAATTGTTGGAATGATAATTCAAATCATCTCATTCAATTGATCATATCAGTAAAATACAAAAACCGTCGATATTATGTTCACTAGATACGGCAAGACAAGTTTGTTTTGTAAAAACTAGTATAGTCCGCGCGAATTAGTTTTTTTTTTTTTCAAAAATCGGGCCTGCGTCGAATTTTATGGGTTTAAAATTAAGTAAAAAATACATAACTTGTGTATTTGTAGAGGTCGAGCGTCATATTGTTAATAACAAAAGAAAAAAAAAAAAAAACAATTGCTCTTTTTTCGGCTTTATATCTCCGAAAATAAGCCTCTAATCGATATGAGGTATTCTTATCGATTTTGTCCCTGAGAAAATTTTCTACAAGGATAGGCTTTTGCGAAAGCTCGAAATTTTTTTTTACATTGCAAAATTAGCGGTGAAAAAAAAATGTGCAAAATTTTCAGCATTAAATAAACATAATGAATTTGGATGAAATTGGATGAAACTACAGGAAAAGATAACTGTTGGGATACTCAACATATACCCGCAATCCGGACCCCCAATTTCAAAATGGCGGCCTATTGCAAAATTATAGGTAAAGTCGAAAATGCGAGCCAAGGTAATTTTTCAAGTTAATTGTTTACGTTGTATAGCACGTGATTTGAATGTGGAAGTCAAAAACATAGATATTATACATTAAATATTTATTTTTTATTTTAATATTATTATAAAAATTAATAAAAAGCTTTATAATACAATGAATTAAATAAAATATGGTAGAATTGAATGTAACAGTTTTTTTTAAATACTATAAAATGCAGTACTTAAATATAATGTTGATATTGTAACATTCAATAATATTCTAGGCACAATTTACGCAATAACAGTTAATTTTAAAACAATACTTTATACGTCGACATTTTCTGGGCATGCAAATAGAGTACTGATCACTTTTTTCAAAGAAATAATTGACTTTTGGTTTTAAATACGTAAAAAGACCTTCCTGTGAAAATATTGAAAGCATAATTAAAAAAGAAAACGTGAAAGTGCCACAATCCATTTGTTAAGTAAGAATTTTGTGAAGCCGAGCGCAGCAAGGGCACTATGACGTCACAGCGCTCCCCTCTCCTGGCTATCGCTCAGCCGCGCGGATCTCGCTGCCTTTAACTAATGTTTACTTGGTCATTTCTTGATCGAATCGTCTCAGAAAGAATTCAGCGTATAAAGGAAGTCTTCTACTTTACAACGAGCCCAAACTTATTACAAAATTAAATTAAAACAGGCAGAATACCGTTTTTAAGAAAAAAAAATATATCGCGGCCCCTATTGGTCGGATCGAGCCGGTTTTTTTTTTAAATTCATGTTTTTTAAAGCACTATTTGATGCAATTGGTTTGAAATCTGTACATTAAAAATCGCCGAGAAAAAGACCTTAGTTACGTTTTTTTTTTGGTTTTTTGTTAATAACTTTTTTATTTTGCATCTTAAAAATCTGAAATTTACACAGAATGTATACCTCATGTCGTTTAGAGGCTTATTTTCGGAGATACAAGCGAAAAACTGAAAATAGAGCAATTGTTTTTTTTTTGTTTTGTTATAAACAATATCACGCTCAACCTCTACAAATACACAAATTTAGGCTTTCAATCTGTGTATTTTTTACTTAATTTTAAGCCCATAAAATTCGACGTAGGCCTGATTTTTGAAAGAGGCATATGTGTTTGGTCCGATTCGCCCGGATTAGTAGAGCTGCGTGTAGAGGGAGGCTACGGCAAAAATCCGTTATTATTTTTGTAATGCTCACGGGTGTATAGTAAAAGTCTATCAAATCAATAGAGTAAATGTCTATCAAATCAATAAACAATCAAACATAACAAACCATAGCAATCTATCTAGTTAATATAAGATCGTCGAGTAAATAAGAAAAAATATTAATTTAGCTCCTTTGTTCCTTGTAGACTAAAACAAACCGAACAGACCCTGATTTCGTTACATCTGCAACATATCCACTCAAAAGACCATCTCGAAAGAAATCTCGAAGTAGTTTACAATCGGAGACTAGTTTACAATCCAAAGAATTTGTTCAAAAAGAAGATAACAATCAGCTCTTTTCGTCGGAAAATCAAATTCCTTGTGTCGAAGAACCATGTGTTCAAGATATACGAGACTATATGGGTTACGCTGTAATAGACAAACAAAAAATAAGATATCCGCCTTTACCCCCTCCCAGATCTTCAAGTAGGAAAAAGAGATCCACAAAACCCACAGAAACTAATTTCTTTACAGTTCCCAGGCAAACGCGCTATGACGATACACCTGTACGTCCCTTAAGAAATTACAGTACTTTGGGTCAAACAAAGAAGATCAGCGAGCCAGTGATATACGAAAACAAAGAAAATATCGACATAATTCAATACGTTGAAATTGAAGATGAACATAACCGTGATTTACAATCAGGGGATGTAATAAAAAAAATGAAAGATCGTCCATTACCTGCTCCTCCACGCCCTCCTCGAAAATCAAGAGTTCTACAAAATATAACTTCTAAAGAAAATATCATGTCTTCTGAAACGTCTATACCTGACGAAGCGGATGAAGAAGACAACGAGAAGTTTTCAGACAGTGTAAACGATATTGAACAGGAAAAACATGCCCAAAATAACGTACCGTGTACAACAGAGAAACGTTTGATTACCCCTGATTACTTCACTCACCAAGAAACTATAACTCACGGGTCTTTGCTCGTTCAGTCATTAGACGGAGGCAAGATTTTGCGAGATTCCGAATTGACATCCCGCTCAGAGGAAAGGATAATACCAGTATCAACTGAATCCGACGACGAAACTTCGTCCGTGCCGGAAGATTTTAAGAAGCTGAGAGATCCACCACAAGAAATAAATACACAAGTACCTTCTAATGCAAATAACGAAATAGAAGTATTAAAAGCACATAAGCTACAGGTTATAGATTTGGACGTGGACACTTTAACAGTCAATAAACTGTTAGCTGGAAAAATAATCGTCTCAGAAATTGACAGTCACAGTATACAAACGGATGAAATACATTCAAAATTGGATGGAATAAAGTCAAGTGAAATAAGAGTTGACATTCCCGAAACGCTTCAGGAAAGTGAATTAAATAAAACTGAATTGTTTCAAGGAGAAACAGAACATCAAAATAAAGAGAGAATTGAGGACCAGTCGACTGACGCTTTTGACGGAGAAAAAAAAACTTCGACAGAACTAACTGAAGCTCAGATGTTATATGAACAGAAATACATACAACCAGAGGATGTAAGTTGTTCAGAAAAAACAGATGAGACGTTATCTGTTCCCGTTACAACAAACGAAGATCAAACAGTTTTATTTAACCAGGAGAACAATGAATGTCTACAAAATGACCCTCCCGAACCGCCACCTCGATCCTTAGTTAACATAGAAAGTAATTTGGAAAGTAGTAGTGACTACACCCATCGACCTCCACCACAATTTGAACAAATTGAATACGGAGTTTCAAGTAATGTGATACAAGAGCCGGATGTTGATGATGAACCCCCACCAAGACCACCTCAGCCACATATAGACTACATACCGTCTCAGCCCCCAGCCAGTTTTTACGCGCTTAGAGCTCAAAAGTACGTAGATAGTGCTGAAAGTAACATTCCTAAGGTGCCTCGGCGAAAACGTCCACCAAGGTCAATATCCAGATCTAGTTCTGAGGATTCACTGGTAACGCCAATTTCCAGACGATTGTACAATAGGTCTCCCGAACCATCGATAAGTCAGCTGTCAGGGCAATTAATTAGAACTTGTAGCTCAACCGCCCATAGCGCTTTAAAAAGACTGATAACGGATATAACAAATAATTTAAAGAAAAATGCCGATGGTAAATTAGATTTGCATGTGATGACAATAATACTGTTAATATTGATAGCTGGACTTATCTTGTTGGGGTATGGGGAAGAAAAGACTGTTGTTCATTTACATCACTGGGAATATTTTAACCCTCCAACGGACTTATAAAACCTATATTTTCTGTTGTTAAGTAAATCTGTCCTACATTAAAGTTTTGATAAAATACGTAATGTAAGTGTACTTGAAGAACAATGTTAAAATTAAACAGTAAGAGTTCAGGTTTAGAATTTTCGTATAATAAAAATACTTTCCATTGTTAACATCACGATAAATTATAATTATACTAATTATATTGTGAACATTTTGAAGTAAAACTGTTTAAAAGTTATCTATTTTATTAGTTTTCTTTTTAAGAACGATAATTGTATGTCTAAAATTTGACAAAAATGTATTGCTACCTAAGTCAAGAATCGTAACCTGAGTAGATAAAGAGTCAGAATCTAATTTCGAATTCGGATTACTGACAAACGATTTTTCAGTCACATTTTGAAAGTAGAACTAGAATACTACAAAACGTATATTCTAATTTTCCAATAAAATGACGCAAAATAGGTGAAAAATTCCTCCAAACATGCTCAAAAACGATCTAGCGCGCGGATGCGGTTCAGTAGTGTAGTTTTCCGATTGTTTTGTAGAAATAATGTATGATATACGTGTTAAAAGTGATTTTATTTTGTTCGTGATGTTAAAAAACTCGCTACGCTCGTTTTTTAATCATCTTCACTCACAAAATAAAATGCCACTTTTAACACTTGTATCATAAATAACTATTTCATGTTAGAAATTTTAATTTTTACCGCCGATTTGTCGCCCCGGGCCCTTAAGCCGCCCCTGGCCTGTTACAGTGTACAATCGACTCCTTTTACCTCTCTCGCTTATCCGTCGTAACTTCTCGTATTATATTCGTTTTGCCTTAATTATTATTATTAAAAAATAAAGTATTTTTTTCTGTACAGAATAAAAAAAAGAAAATACTTATAAGTATGTATGTTTCGACAACAAAAATATATTTACAATAAATTATTATTTCCTTAAAGCAGAAAATTTTGAAACATGATTGCACAAATAAGCCATAGTCTCATATACAGGGTGTTTCATTAATAATGGTACCTACTCACCTTACGGATAGATTGTTGTCGTCAAATTGAACTGAATATATTTTATTCGAATAGTACTGAACTCAACGTAAGTCTAAAAAATAGACTTGGTCAATAATTTTATATGGAAAAAAATGTTGATGTCATTTTGTTTATTTTTGCACAAAAAAAATTCGATAAAAAACGAAACGGACAAATATCTCCAATACCATTAGAGATAGGGTATAGGGAACCTATAACAGTTTGCAAGAGTTTTAAATTTCCTAACGTCCAAAGTAAAAATATACTAGGTGTCCCATTTAAAATAATCAAGTTATTGCTGTTTAAAGTTGAGAGAAGTATTCAGCAGTTTTTTTGAACACCCTGTACAATACTAAGGACGACAAATATAATTTATAACTTCAACAATCTACAATACACTCTCCAAAGCTGCTTCCTTAAAATTATTTTTTTATTGCTAATATTAATATTAAATTTCTACGCCAAGCCTGCATTTTCACTAAAACTGAAATATCTCACAAACAATAAGTCCTAGGCTAGGTATGCAGAACCTTTAATAAAGTTCAGCTATTTATTTATGATGCTTTAAAAAATGCAATAAAATACAGGGTGTTCCATTTAAAAATACATAACTTTGATATGGTACGCTTTTCCTGGACACCCTGTATATTTCAAAATATTTTTTAAATGTAGCCATAATCAACCTACACATACCCACCTAAACAGTTTTGTGTTTTTTAGTCTTAGAATTAAGAGTGCTTTAGGGTACAAAAATTTGATCATAACGATACAAACACTGTATATTTTATTGCAATAAGTGTGAATTATCTTATAAAGAAGAAAGACATCTTTAAGAAGATTTATGTCAGTCGTTAGACACTAATTTAGAGATGTTTTAAAATCTTATGAGCTTTGACCTTCATATGCGCAGAAACATAATTCCGACCGTCGCCGTCGCCTAAATTATTCTACGTCCTAAAAACATTACACCTATTATTCACAGTCTCTCTCGAGCTCTAGCGTAAACAAGCCTTTGATCCGATTACAAATATCATAATAAAATGCCCTATTCTTTATTATTTTAATTAAAACAATAAAATTATATATAACGAACGTTCGCCAGTTGACTTTATTGATGCCCGAGCGCCTTAGTTCATTTCTAGTTGTAATGAGGCACGTGTTCTAATTCTGAGTCAATGTTTTCACAACGTGCTTATTAGAAGAATTATGGGGATACGCCACGCCTTTCGCGCATTTCGCGGCTCATGAGATATTAAAAGATCTCTACCTGCTAAGCTATTATTGTTGAGGTATTAAATGTTTGAAAGTTTTCTTTCTCTGTAGGTGCTTCTTCTGAAATATAGTAATTGGGTATACATTGGAAATAAAACACTATATATATTTTTTGTATTTCTATTTGACTAATACAGGTATCCAACAGCTAATCCAGTGGTCAGACAACAAAAAATTATATTCTTATATGAAAAAATTAAGCAGTAGCTAGTCACCTTCTTTGTAAGCACATAATAGAAATAGTGCACTATTATTGATGTACGGGGTGTTATAATAAATTACAATAGATTCTAACGGCAAAATCAAAATTTAAGTGTCTAGTATTATGCAGAAATTGATCGTTTTGTGAGACATGAGCAAGGGAATATTGGAAATTTTTCATTTAGTATCATGAAGAAACAAAACTGCGAAACTTTAGGAAGTTCAGGAAATGTGATGATAAACTTAAGTAAAAATAACTGTTTTTTTGTCCTTATTCTGAATGTAAGCTATCTTACACCCTGGGGAACACTTGTATGGTACAGTGAATATGCCGGGTGATTCAGTTTGATATTCGCGACCTCGTATCTCTTTTATTTTAACAAATAGCTATAACAAACCCTATATATTTTTAAATCGCCGCAAAAACTATATCAAATGACATTATTAGATCGTCTCCATGGTAACATGTCAAAATTACTATAGTCAATTGTTTTTGTTCAAATGGTACACTATATATTTTTTTATCAATTCTGGAAGATATTTTTTTTCTGCGTTCAGCTATGTAAGGAAGTCTACAGTTTCATTAGAAATATTGCTAGAAAAACAGATGAACCCTACTTTCAGTAGCTTTATTCTGAAAAATTATATAGCCAGCTGCGGAAACAACTGAATTTTGACGTTTCTAAATAACGGTTTGTCAAAATAATCTACCTATTCTATCTATAACTAATTATCACATGAATACTTATAGTAACCAAGAAAAACTATGTAGAGGGCCGAAGGAACGCTAAAGCTGCCAGGTATTTATATCGTTTTCCACAGACAACTTCCAGCAGATAAAATTTTCGGAAAGTTAGCCAGGAATTTGGCGGCAGATGGAAGTTTTCAAAAGAAGAGTTTTTAAACCCAGGAGGTCAAGAGATAAAGAACATTCGATAAAGGTGTTAAATGGCCTGCTAGATCTCTGGATCTCACTCCTATAAATTTCTTTCTTTGCCTTTACCTAAATGATATTGACGACCTTAAGAACAGAATAAGAGTAGAATGTCGGAAATTAAATGAAGAAACACTAGAATGTGTTTGTAGAGAGGGAGTGTTAGAGCTATTCTGTGTTTGGAAGCAAATGGAGGACATTTGGAACATTTGAAATAAGTATTGTTTTAAATTGTTATATTATTACCGTATTAAAAATAAAATATGTGACTTTAAAAAACATAGTAACTTGTTTCCGCAGCTGGCTATCATCCTTCAGAATAAAGCTACGAAAAGTAGGGTTCATCTTTTTTGCTGCTTTTCTAGTAATATTTCTAATGAAACTGTAGACTTCCATACATAGCTGAACACAGAAAAAAATATCTTCTAGAATTAAAATATATAGTGTGCCATTTGAACAAAAACAGTTGACTATAGTAATTTTGACATATGTTGCCATGGAGACGTTCTAATAATGTCATTTGATAGAGTTTGAGCGGCAATTTAATAATATATAGGGTTTGTATAGCTATTGGTTAAAATAAGAGATACAGGGCTGCGAATACCAAACTGAATCACACTGTATATTGTTTCTAACTTGCTTAAATTTTCTAAAACCCTCTTAAATATTTTTAATTATCCACCATCCCTGACTTTACCACTGAATATCAAATTTCATATAAATCAGGTAATACATGCAGAGGTATGTCATTTAAATAATACCCTGTAGAAGGTACAAAGACCATCATAATTAGAAAGTAACAAATAGAGTTAAATATTACTTTGTTGCCCAGGATCCAGAGGAATAAGAGAAACAGACACTACTCTTAGCACTTCAGTGGTGAAACTACTATTTTTATTTCTTCATCCTAACACCCATAAAAATAGTCCTGTTTTTGTTTTATGCACTATTCTCAGCATTGTAATTCAGAAATTGTCAAACTGTAAGGTATATCAATAATAGCACACATTCTATTACATAACTATGACGATACATAACATTTTATCAAGTTATAAGTAGGTACTGCTTAGCCCTGCCACATAAAGAGCTATGCCAAACATTAACAAAAAAATTCAGTTTGGACTTTGACATAAAGCTTTAATTAATACTGTTATTCAACGTAAGCGAATTAGAGTTAGGTACTGTTACATCTAGCAGACAAAGCACAATGTTATTCTACTCTTATTTTAAACAGAAGTAATGTTAACGAATTATTGGATGCATCCAGCCAGTCAGCTGCCAAATAAAAGTTCTTAGATTGCTCAGGGGCTGTTAATCAGCTGCATAAATTTGTAGCGAATAGCAGACTTAAGACCAACATAATTTATTATAAGAGCGTATACGAGTAGATTGCAAGACATCAATTGTTTGTGGATTTAAGCAGTTTACATTTCTTACTTAGTGGCTGGGTTAGGCTGAACATATCCACTGAAGTGTTTCGAATTCAATTTCAGAAATTTGTAAATTACATAAATGTGATTAAATTACATTGATGTAATTTTATGATGGGATTGGAGACCCTGGTGCAAGAAGGGGATAAACAGCGTCAACTTTTGGAAAAAAGGTAATAAACTAATTCAAATAAATTTAAAAAATTGTTTTCTATTCCAGGAAAATTTATTTCAATTAGCTTATCACGTTTTTATTAAGTAAAAAAAAAGTATATTTAAAATTTTCTCCAGTTATTTAGTATTTTTTGTGGTCAAAACATTTTTTTCATATCCAAAATTTTTACATAAAAAAAACTTATCCCCTTTTCTTACGATTTTGGTTTGAGCTACTATATCAACAATCATACAAATTTTAAAAAATTGTAATCTTATTTTTCCGTGTAAATTCAGATTTTGAAAGTATATAGAAATAATAGCGGCAAAGTGTGCAAGAATTATCCCCAAATTACTATTAAGAAGAATTTTTGAATTTACGTTTTTTATTGCACATTTATGGTTTAATTTGAGACTGTACAAAGTTAAACCAACCTTAATTATCTTATGTTTATGATTCTCTCTCTAAGAGAACTGTTCCTGAATGATGAATAAAAAAATATAAATTTTACCATCCTGCACTGAAATATAAATTTGTTTCACAGATTTTTGCGAAAAAATTATTTGGAAATATTCATTTAAAAATGTGTACTTAAGCTGCACAAACATCACAAATATATCACAGAAATGGGAAGGGAAGGTGGAAATAATTTTAATTTCAAGTAATTTTAAACTTAAAACTAGTTTACATTACTAATACGTTATTTCTGTTATAAATATTTAAAATGTATGTAGTGCTAGTTCCCTGATTCTGTACATAATTTGTATTGGTACCAACAATATTTATTTAGAAATAAGTTTACGGACAACTTTCGACCAATTACTTGTAATAAAATAGGGCCACTATTAAAATCAAAGCACGAGGCATGTCCACAAAGTAAAGTACTGAACTCTGATGCTGTGGTTTTTGTTTTGCAGAACGCGCGCTATTGTCCCAGTCAGTTGAGAACTGTTGTTGTAGTGGCGTGTTGAAATTAGAGCCGCTATTCCGAATCTTGTCAGATACGAGGCGAGGATCGTAATCCGGTTTCTTCTTGCATAGGGAAAGGCAAATTACAGATTTTTAACAAAATCAAAATTGTTGAAGATGGTGTAATGACTTGTACTAAAGTGTACAAGTGGCGTCATCAGTATAGAGCTGGCAGAAGGAATGTTCATGAAAAACAAAGGAGAGAGATCAATGAAATGTTCGTGCTGTGAAACAAAGGGCCCGGGAGGCGGCGGGATACTTTTTTGATGAAGACATCAAAAAGCTCATACTTCAGCTAACAGTGTATTAAGGTTGAAGGTGATTACGTCAAAAAATAGTGTATGATGTATCTTTGTGAATACGTAAATTGTTCATAAATATACTGCCATTTTGATTTTTAAAAAATTGGGTACTCTTACTTTGTGGATATGCCTCTTATGTAGACATTCCGAGTGGCACCACTTAGTAATAGATTTTTTTTGTGTTATTTCGTTTTGCATTACAAAATGATACCCAACTTTGAGGCTATATTTAATTTGAAAATGTTCACCAGATAATTACTTCTTATTGAATTGTACATATTATTTGGCACTAAAAACTTTTTGTTCCTCAGTAATACAGTTCACCAAATTTTAGATCACTTAATAATTGAAAAGTAATATACTAATACTGACCTTGTCAGTTTCTTAAATAATTACAGTACAAAAATTTTTGTTTCTGGAAATACTAATGTTCACCAAATTTTAGAAGATATCTAGTTTTAAATCAATAACCAGATGTTGAATCAATATCTGGTTATTGACTTAAATGTGGAAATTGTCAGAAATTGGCAAACATTTAGTATTTTTGGAAGACAAAAATATTTTTTGTCTATCAAATAATTCAAGAAACGGACGAGAAGATAACGTCTGGTTGTCACTTTAGGATTATTATGTGATCAACGTTAAACACAAATCATACAAACCTATTATTTTCCCATATCTATCTACAGAATGGTAAAAGTGGATCAAAGTAGTTGTACATAATGTGAATAATGTAATATTTTTTTATTTCAAAGGCTTAAGCTGTGTATATTAAAATTTTTCTTGTGTTTTTCTCTATACATACATATAAAGCTTTCATGGAATTATACATTTTCTTAGTTAAATATATTTTAATAAATAGTATAAATAATTGAGAATGTAAATTACCCTTAATAATAAGGAAGAATGTAAGATTCATACATTGTAAAAGGGATGTGGTATGTAAGTATACAACCAAGCCACTTATTAAATTTCATAAAATCAACACCACATATTTTATATAATGGTTTATTAGCGGGACAAATTACATATATGAAATAAATAAGAATTTTTATAAATTAAATTTAAATAAGCATCTCAGTGATACAAATTTTACCATAATTTGTTATGATAAAATTTTATATCAAAGTAGCCTTGATTGGTTAAGTGACTTGGAGTTTTTGTACTTGCTGCATTATCTGCTTCCGATGAAGGCAAATTTTCAGCTATTGCATCCTCATTAATTTTAACCGCTTTTAAATTATTTTGAATATCAGTTAATTCTACGTTATCTTCTAAATTTTTACAATCCTTATCGTTCAAAGCAATGTCCCCTATTTCTTCTTCACTTTTTTGAATTGATAGGGATTGTGGTCGTTCCAATTTTGAAGAAACATGGGGTTTTTCAACGTCATCTTGCACATCACTAGAATATTGGAATATTTCTAAAAATCTATGTGTTTACTGAGAAACAATTTGCGCCCTAAGAAAGAAAAATAAGCAAAAAATAATAAAAAATAAAATAAATCAAAATAAGTAAATCTAATAATGATAATAACTAAATGCAAACATTTTTTACTCAATGTGTTACTCTAATTCTAATTAAGATGTAGAATTATATATTTTTTTACAATACAACTATTCACAGATATATTATTTAATTTTTGAAGGTCAGGTTTCACTAGAGACTGAAAGGAGAATTGAAAGATATTAAATTATTTTTATGTTAAGCCAAGAATTATAGCCCTGTTTTGTTTTTGTTGGCTTTGGATCACAAGAAACTTTATAACAGCTTGGTATTTGATAAAAAGTTATATGCATATCTTTTTACATATATCAAGGATTTTTGTTGCTACCTTTAATACTTATTCCTTATTGCTGCAAAAGGGATTAGAGATGAGATCAAACTCATTGTTTGACTGTTAAATATTTTAGTAAAAATCACTATAGTCGATAATCTAGGTCTAATTTTCAGATTGCTATCACATACACAGTGTAGGCCTCACAAAACTATAAAATATATATTTTAATTTTCCTCATAATATGGAATTCATTAGGTTTTGTATATGAGCAAGAGTTGATTTATTTTTGCAAAACAAATAGTTAAGTTATCAAATATTTAAAATTTATCTTTGTAGAAAACAATATTTGCTGAGAATGGCACGCATAAGTGGGACATTTCAATTATCTAAAGTTATTATAATAATTTCTCCCAAATCTTCTCTTGTTAATAATTTCTCTAGATAAAACGTGACCTTCTTTAATTCAAGTGTTATTTATAAAAAGCGTGCGTCATTCAATTGTCACAAATGAAGAAACAAAAAATAAATACAAATTTTACACATTAATTTAAACTAAATTACCATATTGCAAAAAATATTACTTGTCCCAAATTATTAGAAAATTTTATTTCCCTCAACTCATCATACTGATATAATAAAATTACCATGTTTATAATATACAATAAATAATTAAATTTTAAATAAGTACTGACAAAATATTAGAAAATGTTTAAATCTTCTTTTTGTTTTAGAATTTTCAAGCATAAATTGGTTAAACAAATATTGAGATGGCCTGTTTCTTTTTCTTAGTATATGGTTCCCAGAAAGATTGGAACACTGCTGTACCACATACCAGGGATGGGCAAAAATAACCGGTTAAATGAATAACCGATTATTGTGTCGGTTAACCGGTCAAAAACCGGTTATTTCCCGACTTCGGTTTAACCTGATAACTGATTATTTATGTAAAAACCGCGTGCCGGTTATTTTACCGAGACCGAGTGAAAATTTTAGCTCTAGCTCACTGTACGATTAAAGTATATTGTGCTCTATCCCTAAACTTGATAGTAGCTCAGACCACAGCATAGATAAAATAAATAAATATTTATTTTGCTGTGATCAGAGTTAAGCCATCGTCGGCCGGACATTCTATTTAGTGGTGTGTGGGTCGGACTACGCTAATTAGGCTTCCTTGACGGGACAAAACATATTGGTCATTATGAGGTGTCAAAATAACAATAAATTTCAGCTGTCAAATCAATGTTTTATTTCTCCTCGACATGAAAACCTAACCATTTGATAAAGTTTTAAAAAATAAATATAAGCACTGCTTGGTGTTTGAATAAAAGTAAAAAAATATAAATTTTTAAATCAGATACATGACTACACAATTTTTTAATACAGAGATAAATTAGAGCAATCACTAAAATTTAAAAGGGCCGGTTATCTCAATAACCGGTTTTTAGGTAGAAATTAACCGATTCAGGTTTAACCGACTAAGAAAAATAACCGGTTATTTTTCAATAACCGCTCATCCCTACCACATACCTGAAACACCTGGTATCAATATAAAGCAATTTATACCAACTTATCTAGCAACAAAAGTCAACTTCTACTGAGTGTGAAATATAGACTGCTGATTGTGGTCCCACGAAACAAATTGAACATTTTTAATATTTTGAAAGGTCTTACTGGTATAATAACTTTTGGTTACTTATCGGTCATTTTCAAATTTTCAAAATTATATTTCTTTGAATTAGTATTTTATGCTTCCCGCATATTTTTAAACAGTTTTTGTATTTTATGATATAATAACTGTCTTTTTGCATGAACGTTATCTTTGATCATATTTAAGAAAGGAAAATAATAATTGAAAAATATAAATAATTATTTTAATGGCCCAGTATAGTTTTTTTTTAAATAGAAGAAAAAACTCACACCACAAAAATAATCAAATTTATTATTTAAAAATTTCAAATAATTTTCGGGAGCTCTTTGAGGACGAGCGATTTCGGATATAAAAATATTGCATTATAAAAATTGTACTTACTAAAGCAAATGCCCTATATGACATGATCTATCGAAATTAAATTTTAGTATTAACAAAGAGAGATAAGTACAATTCAATCATGTTTTTTTTTTCTTAAAAAAAATGTTTTTCCAATTTTTAGCAAAGCTTTTTAAATATATCACATTCGGCGAGGAATTATAATGTGTTCCAAAATATGAGTGGTGCTGCTAAAATTGGAACACCCTACAGCTAAGCTGATCTAAATTATCTTACTTTCATTCCAGGAGTCTGTGTCCCAAACTTTTTAGGACAACTGGTACAAAAGTCTAATTCAGATTGTTCATCATATTTCCTTAATTTCAGTTTTTCAGACAAGTTTTCAATAAATTTTCTAATAATTTAAAACAACTAACTTACCTGGATAATTAATTGTAGAAAAAAATGCAAATATATTGGATAAACATATGGACAGGACTGTTAGGGTTGACGAATACTGACTGCATTATTTGGTCCTGTTAAAACTTGTGACCTATAAAAGGGGTAAGACACGTAGAACGTAAATATTTAATTTAGGTTGCCTTACTTTGTAAATTGCGGTGGATAACCATATGTCAGGCATCCTTCTTCATATACAGGCTGCATATCTCCTTGGCTATAATCATTGTCGACTAAGTTTACGATGGTATCAAATTATATAATACCAGTCAAAATCAATTATAACGATTTTCACGGGACATACAAATATGGTTCTTATAACTGATACGTTGATCTAAATCCAAAATTATTTAGAGGAATACTGCACCACTCTGTTGGCAGACTTTAAGTTTTAAGTTTAAGTAACAAGTTTTCCACAAATCCCGCTAAAAGCGATATCAAGATATGTAAAATATCAATGGCAAAGCCAATATCTGTGTGTTTAACATTCCATTAACTAATTTATTTATTTGATATTTAAATAAATTGGACAGTCATCATATTCTAAATAAATCGGGAAACTGTAGGGTTTAAGTTATGACAAGTAAGTATCACATACAGGTGGTTGATCTTTATGTGCACTATAATTTCATAATGTCAATCTATGTGATGTATTCACATATGACTGTTTCGTTTCCCGGATATTTATAGTTATAAGAACCACTGGTCTCATAAGCTAAGCTACCAGATAAGTAAAAGTACCAATTTTTTATCCAACAGACATTGATGAAGAAATTGTTAATTTTATATTTATATAATTCGCATTTTTGTAAATTTCCTAGCTTTAATAGATTCAGAAAATGAAGACGATATTTTATATTTATTAGCCAATTTTGGGGATTTTGAATGACTTGAATTAATTTTTTAAATAATTATCTTTTTATTTTAATAATCAACCTTTACTACAAATGAAATGTATTAATATGGTTTGTTAAGAATTACTATACAGGGTGATTCAGAACTTATCCGAAAATCAATTTTTGATTGTATAGAGCTCTTACAAATAAAATTTTGTAAAAAAAAATATCAAAAAGGGCAGTTCGAAAAGGATTTAAAAATACACTTCTGCACGACACTGGAAACTGGTCTGCTGAATCAACAAAATGCTAGAGTGGAATGTACACGAGAGACCAGGGAGAAGTCGGGCAGTCGTCGAAAGTGAAGGAGTACCGGAAAGAGTACGCGAGAACACGATATGTTAGTCATTACATACTTCCAAATCCATAAAAACAAAAGCAATGTGGTGTCAATGAATTAAAGTAAATTAGTATTTAATTAGTTTTTAGTTCGAATTGATAAAAGTAATAGTCTAGAGAGTTCCGGAGAAGGGTAAGTAAGTCTTTAAATACTCTAGGGCGCCAGAGGTTGCAACTGCTTCCGCGGACCGACAGGAGCTGTAATAATTCTAACATTTAGGATATTTTTAGTTTTTTTTTTGTTGTTTTTTGATGAAATTACTCACTTTATGTCTTAAATTTTCATCTTGATTAGGCAGTGTTTTTATTAGAGCTCGATCCCAAACCTTTTTAGGACTACGATAAGTAGTAAGAGGATTTGATTGTATCACCGCTCAACGAAATATTCCAAAAAGTAGGGTAATCGTTACAACTGCCTGCTTTTGCCGCTATTTTTATTATTAATTAATAAAATTAATTTGTGGTTTGAATTAATAAAATAATTAGAATACCTCATGTCACAACTGTTTAAAATTTTGTCCACCGACGTGTAAACACATTTGGGTCCATCGTAACCAGTTTCTACAAACTAACAATGTTGTTTTGCTTCGTCATAAAGGCCTGCACATACATAAGCGGTAGCGATGACTGTGGCGTTATTCGAATTTAAATATACAGCTCGTACCACGACATGTATGTTTTGACCCATTTGTTTCTATGTGGTACATTCAAACGATACCGCTTATCTTACTGCGTATGTATACACAGGCCTTAACACAAATACTTCACTATAACACAAATGTCGTATTGCTTCACCATAAATTAAAACGATACCCATCAACTCCGAGTTACTATACACGTAAGCAATTTTTGACACTTGAAAAGCTAAGGTAAACACTATCGCAAAAAGTTAATACTAAAATCGGATTTCAGTATTCAGGATCGCCATGTGGAGAGAGAGCGAACTGTGTACAGTGGATAATGCGAATGACGCTATGTAACAGTTTTAAATACTACAACTTCAATAATTTTTTTCTCGGAAACTAAAGGATTTTACAAAAATATTTTTTACGATAGTGACTCCATTTTTCATGACGCATCTATTCTCAAATTTTTCCGATAAGTTGTGAATCACCCTGTATATTATTTTAATTCATTTTTATTTTAAAAATATCAGCGAATGGTCATAAAATTTATTACATCAGTGACCAGTGAAGTAAAATAACAGCAATTTTTTTTAACTATTATTTAGACTTTTTGCAGCACAAAAACTGTTTTATCATTTTGTTTAAGTCAAAAATCATACCATATTGTAGGACTTTTGCATAAAGAATTACCTTGAATTCTGGTTCGCTTCAGGACCTTGAGGATTACCTGCTGTGGCGGCAGCAGATCTATTTTCCACTTGAGTGTTGTCTCCAAAAGCGTTTAGTACAAACTCGCCACTCCTCTGAGTGATACTGTTCGGCATGTTTGGAGCAGAGCTAGATTCATTAACTAAATTATGCCTGGACATTTGTGCGTTCGATACATTCCTGTCACTGTAAACGGGTCTCGCCATTTGTACCAAGGATGGATCTTGAGGCTGTACCTTGTCAAAATTCTGATTAAATTGTTCCTTAGTTCCGGCTAAATTCAGATTCTGATTACCGTACGCTTGGTTGTATGCGACTTGCCCACTTGCACCGTAAGGTTGTTGTAACGGAACGTTTTGTTGTCCCACAGCTTGCTGATTAAATTGACCACTTGCGACTGGCTGCGGAGGCATGCGGTTTGGCATATTACCCGTGTGTGGAGCACTGGAACTTCCGTATGGGTGCGGCGATAAAATTTGCGACTGTGAAATGTTGTGGTGCGGATAAGAGTGTAGCTGACTCAAATTGTTATCGACTTGGGGAATCTGTGGCAACTGATTAACAGTAAAGTTATTTGACTGCACGTTTTGGTTAGATTGTAAGTGTGGTTCGATTGTATTCTGATGAGGTGGTGAAACTTCCTGTGTCCTCGTCACATTTTGCGCTACTTGTTGGGGTGCTTGTAAATTGTTATTGGTGGAATATTGCGGCATCAGATCAGACGTATTGTTAATATTTCTGACATTTTGCATGTAATTTTCCCTCACGGTATTGTTGTAAGTATTATTTGGAATGTTAGATTCCACCGTTTGATTTTCATAGGCTTGTGGTGGCATTTTTGCATTTACGTATTGAGTATTTGGAGACGGTACATTATTATTTGCTGCGGTGTTCGTCGAAGACACGTGATTATTCAAATTTAAATTCTGAAACTGTTGATTTACATTTGCGTATTGTAGAGGTGGAGAAATAATCCCCTGTTGATGTTGTGGATTGTTCAAATAAAGTTGTGAACTGACGGGGTTGGAGTGGGCGTTGAAATTTTGTGGAACTTGTGCATTTTCCAAATTATGGTATGGCTGTTGCACGTAACTTTGATTTCCTGCTTGGGGCGCTGTAACGAGACTTTCCCGATTCCCCTGAGTAATATTTTGATAATGAGCCTCATTGTAGTTATTAGCATATAATGTTTTTTGCAGGTCATTATTCAACGCATGTTGATTATAAATATGTTGCGCGCTATTATATTGTGGTTGCGAGATGTTCTGATTCTGAAGTGCGACATCCGCGGAAGGCAGTTGGTTAGTGTTATATTGGTAACTCTGCACCGTTCCCGTTGGAATTTGATTGGACGTTACCACGTTGTGCATATTTTGTGGATTTAAAACGCTTTGAGAATTGTCGTTTTGAGTTTGGTTAATATTTTGCAAATTTGAGTTTTCATAGTTTTGACTGCATGCGTTGTTCAGTATTCGTTGCCCCACGCTCACGTTGGGAGTGCTTTGGGAAACGGGATAGGATCTAGAAGGAAATATTACCTATTGCAAGGGACATTGTGAAACAAAAAACTTACCCTCCAAGATGAACTCCTTGATAATTAGTAGCCGGTAGCGACTTAACCCTTATAAGCAATAGTAGAAGTTAGGTTAAAGAACTTTTATCTTTTATCATTATTATTTTCAGTTCCTTTCCTCCGTCGTTAAGCAATAATCAAAATTATTTATAACTTATAAGTTTTGTAATAGAATTATACAGGGTGGTTCACAAACGGTGATCAAAAATGAAACCTCGTATTCTTTGGTGGATTTTAAGGGGTCCTTTGTATAAATTTTTCTCGGGCGTTTCGTTAAAAAGATACAGGGCGTTAAACTTAAAAAAATATTTTTAATTTTGTTTAGTGTAAGTTTAACATTCTGTATCTTTTTAACGAAGCATCTTAGATAAAAACTTTATACGAAAGAGTCTCCTTAAAATTCACCAAAGAATGAGAGGTTTCATTTTTGGTCACCGTTTCTGAAAAACACTGTATTATACGAAGGAAAGGAAAGAATTATTAAAATTAAGTTATGTGTTACTGTGTGTTAAATTTACTCACCCTGTAGGTTCCTGGTTTTTATTATTAGTTGTTTGATTATGTATAATCTGCAAAGTTAGTAATGTTATTATCTATTAATGCTACAATTTTACTAAAATGTACGTACTTGACCCATGCTACATGGGGGTCTTGGGGCACCGTATCGCCCTTGAGGAGAAGTAAACTTCTGTAGACCATTAGCCGATTCTTTTCTTCCCAAATTACCACTAGAACGATACATAAAAGTATCAGATGAGGGATTTTATAAAATATTTAATTTTATTTTGGCGCATATAAATAAATAATGAGACAGGGATTCTATTACAGGATGTAATAATGTTTAAATTGTAAAATAATTATTAAGAGCAATTGCATATATCCGGCATCCCAGAATTCTACAGATGTAGTACAAAAAAAATTATATGGATTAAAAAGTGATAAAATATCAGCAAGAACAAATATTTTGTTTTATCATTTTATTGGCTCGATGGCATTAGTTTTAATTTGCTTATCATTTAAATATCTAATAAGTATAAAGTACTTCTTAAACTCTCAAAATAACTTGTTTTGAACGTTATAAAATTTGAAAAAACTGTCCACCAAAAAGTTCAGGTAATTTATAATTTTTACCCCGATCTGTTCTGATATATTTCCAAATTAAATTTTAGAATGATTGTCTACTCATCTTGTTGGGCAAGGCAGTTAATATACAGGGTGTTTTGAAAGTCCGTCAGTAAACTCTGGGAGGTGATTTTACAGATTAAAATAACAGCAGTATGTAATGAAAATTTTTTTGAATTGTCAATTGTTTGCAAGTTACAGCTTGTCAAAGTTCAATTTTTATTTTTTTTTATTCACCTTTGATTAGTCCCACATTTGGAATATCCATTGAGTAGATCAAGCTCTATTGGAGCAGTCAGAAAAAAGTTTCACTTCACGCGACTAGAAGACACTATCTAGAACCCAAAATTTTTGTTGATAACTTTTTTCTTGCTAGACATCACAAAAATTTAAATATCATCGAAAAGAGAAAGAATATCAGAAAAACTTATGTACTCTTTATTCAAGCCAATAAATGTAACCGTTTAGCTGGAAATTGCTATTAAAGTTTTATTAAACATCAAATTTTTCATACTTCATTCTGTAATTAATCAAGTTGCCATGCTTTAAATAAATGTCATTAGTAATTCTGGTGTTACGAATTGTATCGAAAAGCAGGTATAAGTTTGATTTTTCTCCATAATTTATCATTAAAGATCTGTAATAGCATTGTGGAAAAATAATATGAGGATAATGAATTTACTAATATTTTATTTACTAACGAAGCTGGCATTATAAGAGATGGTATTCCAGCATGGCTACTTGATTAATTGTAGAAATAATTATCAAAATTTGATGTTTAATAACACTTTAACATCGATTTCCTAAACGGTTATATTTATCGGCTTGAACAAAGAATACATAATTTCTTCTGATATGTTTCTCTTTTTAATAATGTTTAAATTTCTATGATGTCTAGTAAGAGAAAAAAGTTATGAACAAAACAAATGTTCTAGGTAAAGTGCCCTCTAGTGAAGTATAACGACACTTATCTCTGATTGATCCAATAGGGCTTGATCTATTCAACGGATCTTCCAAATGAGAGAGACTAATCGAACATATTTATTGAAGTTATTGAAAAAAAAAGAACTTTGACAAGCTGTAACTTGCAAACAATTGACAATTAGAAAAAAATGCATTACATATTGCTATTATTTTAATCTCTAGAATCACCTCTCGGATATTTCTGACAGACTTTCGGACCACCCTGTATTTCTAAAATCTTATTTATTTCTTCATACAAATTTCATAGATATTGAATAAAAACTCATTTGTAGGCCTATGTTTCCTATTTTTGAACATAAAATATAGATATAACATATGGCAGGTTAATTGTGGGATATCCTGTATAGTTGGTAGAGGCGAGAAATTTACGGTTGCAAGTTCCTTTTTTTAATAAAATATCTCGATTTTTTTTATTCTATGCTCTGTTTGTGAGAAAAATGATTTTTGTCAGTTTTCCATAATACAACTTTTTATAATTTAAATAAAAAAATGATAATGACATGGGACTTATAATGAAATTATATACAGGGTGATTCTAAATTCAGTAATAATTTTCTAAAAAACCCCCGTACCCCAAGTTATACGCCAACATTCAAATTTGTTTGGAAATTATTCCCAAAAAATAAAAAAAAAATTTACATCTTGTATATCGAAAACTAAGCATTTGTGGACCCACATTTATAGGACAAAAAGTATTATATTGACCTCAAAAATATGCCCCTGAATTCTTTGCACTGAATTTTTAATCACCCTGTATAATATATGGACTAGTAGACTTGGTTAAATATTATGTTTTCTTTTTCAAAGCTTTGGCGTCCTCTAGTTATTTAACGAAGTATTTTATAGGGAATAGGACATTCCTATTCTATGTATTCTGTTCTTGAAGTTTGTTAGTTAATTTTTGTAACACCCTGTATTTCTAATCACTAAATCACATGACGGTTAAAACTAATTTCAATCACCGTAACCCTGGTTAGAATCAGAAATTAATGACCTTCTCTTTTAGAGTACAGTTTTCCCAAAAATATAATGATACACGAAAAGTGCAAATGACACAAATGTATATTCTAAGGAGTTCTAAAAATAAGAAACAAAAATTTATTTTAAATTTCCAATAATTCGTAACAGTTATGCCTATGGCATACTTTTTTAGCCACTGTCAGTTTATTAGGATGCATTTACTGTCTGCTTTGATTCCGGCCTTCGGAAAAATTCATTTTATATTCAAAATTATTTCCTATTTTCAAAATTAACAGCTGTAGGGAGGGTGTAAAATTGTATGTGTATTACTTACCTTGGCTTAGATTCCGTAACGTGACTCGGTTCCGCAGATTTTGGAAAGAAACCATCAAACACAACATAATTATTCATTTGCTTCACAGGTGAATTTAGTAAGTAATGTTTATTAAGAAATCCCAACAACTTATCACTTGGTCTGTCTATAGCCATTTTTACGGGTTCTATTTCTTCTTTCTGGAATATGGAACATTTACATTTTTTTAAAATCTTATTTGACAAAATTTTAAGGGGATTATAAAAAACAAAACCGTCACAACAAAAGAAAAATAATAAAAATTGATTAAATTAATAAATACACCGTTTCATTTTTTAAATGTGTGCACAGCAGCACACTGAGTGACACAAGAATAAAACCTATTACACCCACCAAAAGAACAATTTTTTTGATTTGAATGATTATAATAAATTTTAATTTGTCTAAGTACAAAACGATTATTTTACCTGTAGCATATGTTCAAATAAATGCTTTCCTAACCCAGTCCTTTGGCGAGATTCATGAATATAAAAATCTAAAATACAGGGTGGAGTAACCTGGTAGTGCTGCCCATCTCTGTCAAAAACATACAGTCCTTTATTTCCTGTCTTTAACATACCAGTTACAGCTCCTTTTCCACTAAAATAATTTATTTATAAAACAGGGACAATTTTTTAGTTTAGTATCAATCAATCAAAAACTTTAAAGAGAAATAGTACAACAAAACCAAATTATAAATAAAAAAATGACAAATTAATTAAAACCTCTAAATATTAAGAATTATGAGTATTGTTTAATGAATAAGCTTCTACATTTTGGTTACCGTAGATTATAATTTTAAAATCATGGTGTCTCATAAAGGCATTTGATTACTTTTTTTTATATTAATAATATGAGAGAACACTTACTTATTTGCAGCTTGATCAATTAAAAAGTACAATTTATGTTCTGAATTTCTAAGCCTTTCCGCAGTTGTAATCGGTTTTGAAAGTCCTTGAGCAACCGCAGAAGCCTCTCCCATTGTATTAACAACTTCCGATACCTTTCCTAGGGTGTCCCTAAAATATATTATGAATATCTAATAAATTCTTAAACCTAAACAACTTGGCGCGTTTGCTGTTAAAGGATATTTTACAGAAGGAATTCGAATGTTATTACATTGTCTAATATGTATTTATTCCATGTATATATTTATTTAGAATTAAACACTACTTGTTTTTGAATATGTATAGAGGCATTTCAAAAATAAATAAAGATATTAAAGTAAGGTAAGGACATTAATTTCTTGAATATATCTCTACCCCGATCTCTACATGTACGATAACTAGGTATACCGGCAATCACTCTTTTTTGTTATACAAAAACCGAAGAAGAAAAATTAGAGTTGCCCCATAAACTTATTCCATAATGCAATCTAGACTCAACATATGCATAATTTTTTTCATACAGTTGATGAAGTAACAAGATGCACATAGAAACAAGATTATTGCAATATTCTTCCAGTTTAATGTGTCATCAAGAGCAATTCCCAAGAATTTGACACAGTCTGTTTCACCACTGATTATAGTGCACTTATTTATATTTGCTGAGACAGAATCACATTTATTTTGTCTACTATGAGACCTAATTAGTTTGATTTTATCTGTATTAAAATATAGTTATTGTAACTAAACCGCTTAGATAATGTGTAAAGCATATTTTCTAAATTAATTGATTGTCAATGTTTCTGTCCATCTATGTGAAATAATTAACGACAAATCGTCAGTATACATATAATATTTGGTAAAATCCTTAGATATTGATAAAGTTCCTCAATCAACTGCCATTTTGATGTAAAATTCCAATTATCCTAAATATTAGAAGTTGAATACTTGGAAAATATAAATCAATACATATAGAACAGAAACTTGTGAAAAGTATTAGCCAGACATGCTACTGAAAAATAATATTATTACAACAGGTATTTAAATTCAACATAAACGAACTTTTTTCGATTTACTTATATAAAGATGTTTGGCTGTATATGGAAACTTATTTTTAAATGTAAAAAAGTGATCCTTCCTTTAAAGGAAACTGTCAAGGTTTGTCTGGTTCTGGCAAGACTTTATCAACAGCTGATAGATTTTTAAATAGAGACGAAATATTTTCGTATAATTTTTTGGTCTGATTACATTTTGGTTGCATGTGGCTTTAGTGACAAACATGTCAATATGAAAACTTTGTATATGAAAGTTATGTAGGTAAGAATAAAGTTAAAAACTTAATTTATGAATTATAATATAAAATTAAAAAGTAATAGTCCATTATTATTAAGATTTCTAATTACTAATCATTTAATCCGGCAAATCAAGAGTAGGATCATTTGAAATATATTGACTATTGACTGACTACTCTACATATAGGTATAGCCGCAAAAAATATTATTACTCATGAATGAGTAATGAATTTTTTGTCAACATTTATTATGTAGATATGTACTTCTTTATTACAGTCCATGGATTTATTATCCACGATGTAATTTTAGCCACAAGTGAAGAAAATAGTGTATTACAATTTTTATTTTACAACTTACCATAACGCCCTTCTATCACCACTAAATCCTGGAGGAATCAAATTGTTATTAATTTCTACGATAGGCTGCTTGAATATATCATTGACATTAAATTTAAATTCCATTTTTTAGAAATTCACTTTAAATACGAATAGATTCACACTGTATACTAGGTGATAAACGCTATCAAATTATTTAATCGATTAATTTCAATTTTGAACTACCACCCAGAAATATCTCACTTTTCTCTATCTGACAATTGCAAAATAAACTTGTTTTTTTCTTTACACCGTCACGGAACATCAACGCCTTCCTTGACAATAGAACATGGAACAGAGATATCCTATGACGTCATACATAAAAGAAGACAAGATCAACACTTTTATTTTAAACTTTTAAACAAGTTCATACTAATTTCGGTCTAGATTTGCGTATAACCTCGTCTGCTTGTAATAAGTGTGATTACATGCATTGAGCAATTTCAGGAATCGGCGTGTATAATTTGAGCTTATCTGTGGTTGTAACCACAACCATTAATGAATAGAGTCTATCTAGAGACAGCCAATCTACTTTGTTTTGAGGTTCCCGTATGCACCCATTTTTTCATTCTTCATTCATAATGAAAAAAATAAACTGATATGCTAGTTTTTTTTTTAGTTTCTTTTTTAAACGTACGAAAAAGATCTAGATGTAAAAATGGATAATATTCAAGTTATCTCTGGCCTCTGGCCTACTTCGCATAAGAGAGGCGCATGCGGAGAGCTTTAAACCAAAGTGGATTGAGTGTTTCTAGACTAGTCCGATAATTAGATTATTCTGTGCGTGGACGCGTGTATGTAGTCTATGTACCTATACTCCGCGGTCGAAATTATAAAGAGTGACTAAGACATAATATAAAAATACTATTACCATAATGCGTATAAAATATAAAATGATTTTTATACGGTTCAATATTATTTATCTTTGTGCCGTTCGCTACGCACATCGATAGAATCTATAATCGTCTAGAGACCGAGTTACACTGAACGTCGATCTATATTCTATCTCTGTCTTTTGCACTTGGTAGGGAATAGGGAAATGCTTTTTTAGTGGGTGTAAACGGACTTGATTTAACCCGTCCTGGGAAATGTCATAGCATAGGCGTAGACGAGGGGTCTAATTCCATGACTATAATAAATTTATAAATTAAAAAAACACAATTGGGACGTTTTAATATGCTGTAATAATTAAAATGGATCAAAGTGCCTGTTATAGCAAACCCTAAAAAATATTAGATGTTATGATTTATTATCTTTTTTCATTATTTTCTATATCTTGTTGCCTTTTACGCAGACACGCCAATGGATTTTCGTTCCCGGCACGCTTCATCCCCCTTACTAGTCCAAAAGCTAGCGATGAATCACTCTCTATAATTTCGATCGTGGAGTATAGTTGTAGTTTATAAACATACAGTCATAGAGTAGGCGATCAAAGCATAGTATTTACCATGCGAGTATGGAAGGATAGAATATCTTTCCCTAATTTTTATAACCAGGATAGGAAAAAAATCTAGTTGTATTTTTCGACAATAAAATTAATTTTTGTGAGAGGTTTTACGTATCGGTAAAAATTTATACCGGTCTAGTCTGTTAGTAAAAAACTCTGTTTATGTTAACATTGTATGGTATATTAATTAACCTGTAATTTATATTTAAACATTAAAAAAAATGATGAAACACTGAAACATTTTGTATTTTATTAACATTATTTTCATTATCTCTGAATGAAAGTGGATTACAAAAGAGCCTATATTTTTAAAAGGCCAACCTTTTTCAGTCAAAAAAATACTTTTTCAATATCGAATGACATAAAAACTCAAAATATCTTAGTGGATTAATGATTATTTTGTAAGTAAAAATGTAAAAAATGATTTTCTTCTATTGAAAATGGAACATATTTTGCAGATTAAAGTTCAATGTTCAAAGAAATGTAATATATGTACTCCACTGGACTATCATTTGTCTAGGGAATTTTATGTTAATTATTGACTCCATCTCCATTGTAAGTTTGGCTGCCTAACAGTTGCGGTGACGTGGAACTCGAACAATTATGAAGGCACTGTAGATGACAAGAATTCAATAAAAACTTTTGAATTTGAAAGCAATTTGATAGGTTGCCAACATAATTTTGAGTTGTCAATATGATAAACAGAATTATCACTTAAAAGTGACCAATCATTGAACATAATTACCAATTTTATCTGACAATTATGACACCGTTTTATAGAGTTTGCATTTCAAACTTTCCGTAGCTTACACTCAAAGCTATTTGAAAATAAGAAGTTTAATTTAACCCACATATCAGTTAATTTTGCTCGGTATTATTCATAGTGTGCATTAATAATAATGATTAAAGGTAGAGACGCCACGTAGAATGGTTAGGGGAAATGAGCAATAACGGGAGCTTTTGGGAGTACGCTGTCCGATAGTGGTCGCACAAATCATGCAGGCACGACCATCTGTACACATCTTATGCGAGCTGCTGACCATACATCTGCATTTCAAATCACCCTATTAGACACCTCCACTTGTACCGCGCTCTCCAGATGAAATAGCCAATAATTTTTACCTTTTTAAATATGCATGCAGATATAGCGCAATTTGTTTCTATAAATTTGAACATTTTTACAGAGGGTGAGAGACTTGTGCAATTTTCTTATGTCTACTCTATCATTGCTGTTAAAAATATAATTTCGACAAAGGAATTTAGGATTTAAGGAAACAGCGAAACAAAAATGGGTATGGTAATATTCTAAAGAAATAGTAATAACAAGTGGTAGTCGAACTAGTTACAGCTATAGGTACAGTTAAATCACTTCAACTGTCGCATATTGTAACACGGATTTGATAATCTCGCTATAGATCCTAGTGCGTATGCAACCGCACAATCGGGAGGGCAAGTAACCAGGACTATACTAAGAAGTTTTTATTTATTAAAAATACCTATTAAAATTAAAAGGAATTTTAGTCAATTTTAATGTGTGGGTACAGGTATAGCTAACTGCGTTTTAGAGAATATCATCAGAGAGCTTTTCTAAATTTTTGAGCCTGGAAATGTTTTATGGACAACTTAACCCAAAATACATAAATACAGTTGTATGTATTCTTCCTCATTTGAGGAAGAAAACTGTAAATATTTATGATGTGTGCTTATTTTAGTCGTAAAAAAATGTCCACACGGCATAAATACAATGATCTCTTAGTCAAGGAAATCGTTGCAAGAATATACAGGGTGTGGCGTGTATAATCTATAAAAATTAAACTATACTCGTAGCTTCCTGATGATATTTGTAATAGATAAGTCCTATACGAAAAAGTTCTATCTTCGCGTTTTTTTTGTGAATTAAAGTTCATTTATTCAACAAAAATGAAGGGCAACCCTGTTTTATTTATTAAAAACTTTGGAAATGTTTTTATGCGATCCGAGATGCAACCTTATAATTTAAGTCGGTATAATCTAATACTAGTAATATTAAAACAAGCTTAGGTAACATTTTTAAAAACTTTGTGCAGTCAACTGATTTTGTATTTATATTGAATTTATTATTCACTTAATTATTAAATATTAAGCATTGTCCATCGACCCATCAGCGTTAAAAAGTGAAATATTCCAGACAAATTTTTTATTTTGTAATTCCACGATAGTGACAGTGTAATTTTTATAAAGAGGTAAAAAATGAGAATAGAGTGCCGATTACGTTAAAAACGTGATTCTTATTTCTTACTTTGCTTAATTTTTTATTTTGTGCACAAACTGGTTTTACAATGAACCGAGAAACCAATGTATTTACTATTTCCGAACGTGTCGGTATGATGCAGCCAGAGAAAATGCGCTCGCGGCGACTAGGTTGTACCGGCCTGCGGGCTGCGAGATACGGGAAGTGTTATTCCTCGAGGAGAAGCACGTGATCAGCCAGTGAACCTTAATGTTGAAGATTCAGTGTTGGAAAATCTAGACGAAGACCCCACAATTAGTACTCGACGACTTGCACAGCAAGTAGGAACCTCATCGCATCTTAAGGTGCCAGTTGTTGCACCCCTATCATCTGTAACCAGTTCAACAGATTTTACCCTCAGATTGTGATCAACGAATGCGTTTTTGCAGATGGTTTTTACGGCAATGAGCCAATCAAGTAGACTTTCCTGCTTATGTTTGTGTAACAGATGAGGCGACATTTACCCGTGATGAAGTGAACGCGATTAGGGAAACTCATTTCCAACATCGGTTCTCGGTAAATATTGGGGCTGGCATAATAGGCGATGTACTTGTGGGGTCCCTATATCTTTGAAGGACGACTAAATGGACCAACATATGCTGACTTTTTGGAGAACCGCACAGTACTCGAGATGTAACGACACTTTTGAATGAAATGTTTCCTCAGCGATGGATTGGAAGCTTTGGTCCTGTGCCGTGGCCACCTCGGGCACCCGATCTAACTTCAATGTATTTTTATCTTTGGTGTCACTTGAAGTCATTGGTTTACAATACTCCAATTGCTACGGTGGAAGAATTGCGAAACCGTATACTTAAAGTTGCTGACACAATTAGGGGAATACCAGAATTTGGGAAAATATTCGCCAAAATTTGGTGCCATGCCTGTGTCTGCGCTAATGGAGATCAACATTTTTTCTAGAAATGGTAAGTTTTATTTCATATTTTTAATGGAGTTTGTTTAGTGCACGCAGTTGGCAACTACAGATACTTATGGATGTGGTTTTGTTTGCGAACTCTTACAGTAACAACAATGCATTTAAGATAGTAATTACCATTAATTATTATAATAAGAAAATAGCAGTTATTTTTAAATATCTATTTTTCTTAGTTTGTACTTTTGCATTGAAAAATTCCCCAAAAATTGAGAAGTATCTTTCTATCTTTCAACGACGATTTGTTTACGCAGCTGGTCTACAACAAGGAACTCATCGTACAGCACACGGACAGGACAGTTCCAGAGAAAATAATTTGATCCATAATTGAACTTTAATTTACGAAAAAAAAACCGCAAAAATAGAACTATTTCGTATAAGACTTTTCTATTACAAATATTGTTAGGAAGCTGTAGTTTAATTTTTATAGATTATACACACCACGCCCTGTATAAAATAGTAATCAAAGTTATCAAGTGTCTTCCGTGTACAATTTTTCTAATTTTCTATAAATATATGTACTTAGTTTTCACCTAGTTGTCGTTGCTTCTTGTTGTATTTTTGTTCAGATAGTTCTTTTATATAAAAAAGATGTTGC